CTGTGAGCCTCTTCTGGAATAAATGTACGGGCATTGCCTCGCAATGTGTCCTTCAGTCCCACACTCAAAACATTTCGTGCGGGGACACTGTGCCACCAGGTGTCCACTCTTTCCACAACCGTGGCATTTCCTGTCCTCTCTACGCTGCCTACCTCTTGCTCTACCCTGCTCTGGTCTTCGTTCGGCTCCGGTAGTCTTTTCTCTCCCGTTGTGTGCGGGCTCTCTCCTTCTCCAGGTCGTTGGTGAACTCCTAGGTCTCCTGTAGATCACTCTATTCCATCCTGGAGGCCTTCTTCAGTCTCTCCTTGACCATTTCCCACGGCGTCTCTTCATCTGCCTGAATGTGGTTCAGGATGCTCCGTTTTACCCTGCACACCAGGGCCGCCTTAAGGGCCTCCGCATCCCCGGCGTTGACGAGGTTCTCCCCAATCTTCGCATTAATTCTCGCCACGAGCCGATCTCCACCCTTTAAAAAATGGTTGAGCTCACCTATTTCTCCCGTGAAGCGCTCGAGATGGGATATAGCCTCCCTGAGGTCCTGTGCAGTGGCTACTCGGATTTTCATCCACTCTATCGCGTTCGCATGCGCCGCGGCCAAGGTTCACTGCGGCAACGGAGGGATCTCCGGCGCATTCATGGTAGTGGGCTGTCCTATAGCAAACTCAGGCATGCTCGTACTGGTGGTTTTAAAAAAACGTACCTCTGTACTCTCACCTTCCCGGGTTTCGGCACCAGTTAAACGCTGCGGGCTTCAAACACTTAAAAAAAAGAGTAAAGGATCCACAAATAACACGCATGAAGTCAGAAACAAGACTGCTTTATTGCTCCTTATAATCTCCTATATATACATTCTGAGTTGTTTACATCAATGCTTTAGGTATTAAAGCTAATACTGTCCCGCTCCGTACCTTAACTTATATATATATATATATATATATATATATATATATATATATATATATATATATATGTAAAACAAATAGGGTGTATAAAAAAAATATTTTAATCCTATTTAATGCTTACCAATACTTAATAATCCTTCTAGAGTATTCTCTAAGCTTGTTTAATTCCATTCGACTTCTTAAAAAAAACCTTAGTTTAGTTATTTGTTTCAAAGATGATAGTGTCCTACCAAATTCTCGTAATTTTAAGGCAATCCTAGAAATAAAAAATTCATAGCCGCTGAAGCAACTCGTGAAATTATTAAATATGAAGGGGGAGATGTCCTTAACCAGCATACTGCGCGGCGTTGGTTTGTAAAATTTAGCAGTGGAGATACAACTTTCCAAAGGAAGAAGTGCTCCGGGCGTCCATTAATGGATATTGATAATGTTCTGCCTGAATCTATTGAGTCAAATCCGTTCACAAGCACTCGTGAACTTGCCAGAGAGTGTGTTGTGTCGAAAGATTCTGTTAGTCACCAACTAGTAGAATGGTCCCTGACGAACTTACTCTTAGCAATTAGCTAGGAGGTAAAAAAATTGTGAAACCCTTCTGATATGAGACTCCTGCTTCATCCCCCATATAGTCCAGACTTCGCACCATCGGATTACTACTCAAGGAAGTTGAAATTGCGGTCCAAGAGTTCTTTGACAGCCATCCCAAATAATGGTATCTGCGGGTGATCGAGCAATCGGCTAGCATGTGACTAATGACGTTAGATAACAATGGACTATACCTTGAGCATTATTGGTATTTTATATCAAAGAAATAATAATACGAATATTTCGTTGTAAAATTGTTTGTATACAGGATATTATTTTAATTCATAAATGTGATTAGAAAGAAATACCTACTGATAAAAGTTCAGTCGTTGAAAAGTGTTAAATTTAATAAAACAACATTAATGAAATCAGGAAAAAAAAATACATTCTAAAACAAAATATATGTTGAATAGCATAAAAGGCAATGATTTCGGCGATTTTAAAGGATTTTCAATAAAAATAGTAAAATTAAAACAAAAGGAGTCAATGATAAAAAATAAAATCCAGTAGTAAATTTATTTCTCAGTTTCCAAATTAATACCTTCCAGCCTTCATTCCAGAAACATAAATGCTAGGATATACAAAGCTATTATACTTCAGCCTGTTCTTTGCGGAGCGTAACGTGGGTCCTTCCATTAAGAGAAGAACAGTGCCAAAACGTTTATTAAAATAAAGGATTACTAAGATGATTTGTTCATTTGACCCAAAGGAGATAGCTGGAAGTGTGCTGTACTACTATTAGGAAATTTTGAAAGAAAAAATAATATAATTTTAGATTTTTGAAGTGCGAACTTCTTTAGGCGCATTTTTTTTTTTTTTTTTTTTTTTTTATTTTTATTTTTTTTTTTTTTTTTTTTTTTTTTTTTTGTGGAGAGCGAATTAGATCGACAGATTTACGATGCTCGGGTAATGTTGGCTAGAGTCGACTAATTGAAATGTTTTTGGATATGGATTAAAATATTTCAAAAACTAAAAATCGGACCTCATATTGTAAACGAGGAAATGGTCATTTCATACTCTTTGTAATAAGCTATTATTCAATATTATGTCTTAACGCTATGCCGTGTTAGAGAGGCGAAAAGGGAAAACATAGTGTCAAAAATCACATGATAATGAGTTTTACGGAAGATAGAGATTAAAATATCTCAGCTGTAGCTTACTGTAAGCGGGGGAAATGTTCAGCATTTCATTCCCTATATAATGAGCTATTATTTATAATTTATATTTCACATTATTAATCTTGTCTTGTAGATGTTTTCACTTCCATTGTGTGGCCTATATCACACACATTAGGTTGTTTTTATTACAAATAAGGTATGTTTTAATATAAATACGAAACATTTCAGAACTTCAGCGTAATATTATTTTATTTTTAGTTATATCAATATTGAATAACTTATGCAATCGGCATTACAGCCTAAAAACTGCAATATTTTCTTTTCCGGCTTTGTTATTAAATAACTCCCTAACCCAAATGGTCTCATATCGATTTTATCGAATTCCATTAAATTTTTCTGTTTGCGAATGCCCAAATGTTTCATCAAATCATTTCTTCGAGTTTTGTACATCCGGTTTGCTTTTGATTTGTATTCTTTTTATTTATGTTCATACGTTTGACTATAGTCATGTACAGCAACTAATTTGTTGATTACAGCAGTACTTCAATTTAATCATTGTTATTTAATTCGTATCGTGATTATAGATGTACTTTATAATTCAAAAAATACAGCGGATGTTAATCATAATTTGTCAAAAATATAAAATAATTGATTATTTCGATATTTATTTCTTAGAAAGAAGTGCAAGTTTCCAGTCGAACAGCTGGCAAATATTTATAAATTCTCTTCACGATGTTATTTTTGAATAAGAAAAAGTGAACTTTACCAAACATATGCCATCTGCTGAGATGAGTTGGAAATCGGTTGTTTACGTTTACTTTTGGATACACTTGGGTTGTTTCGATATTTCACTTAAAGTGTGCTTTAAGTGATCTTTTGATCTTAAAATCAACAGCCATCATAGAATAGTATTTCAGAACTATTGTTTAATAGAATTCAACAAAGAACTTAACCTTTAAAATAAACGAATTTTTTTTTAAGCTAAACTATGTTATTAATGTTTCACACGCATATGTTGCAACTTGCTGAATAATCGTTCTGTATATCCTAAACTTGGTTGTACGACTTAACAATCTACTTTTCCCAAGGCTCGCTAGAGAAAAGTACGCTCTGTTGTCAGTCATTATTCTAGCTCCTATCTCCACCTCTAAGTTATTGCCGTTGTTAATTATGGACCCGAGGTAGGTGAAGCTTGATACAGCTTCAAAAGTGTGGTTTCCTAAGACATAATGCTGTGGTGGATGGACAAGCTTTCTCTTCCTTAAAACAAGGACCTTAGTTTTACTTTCGTTGATGCAGAGCCCCATTTTCCTTGCCTCATTCTCCAACCTACTGAATGCACTCTTCACTGCTTGAAGTGATCGCCCTGCAATGACCACATCGTCAGCATACGCGAGATTTTGGGTCATTCTGTGGAATATTGTTCCTCCGTTGTTTAATTCTGCACTTCTCATGATGGTCTCTAGGGCAATATTAAAGAGGAGTGGAGCTAATGAGTCACCTTGCCTAAGGCCCGAACACACTGCAAAGGAGTCGCTAAGACGGATAATAGGAACTAAACTGAAGGAAGGAGTTCTCCGCTTGAGAACAATCAAGGAGGTATACTCAATGTACGGTAATCTGTCTATAACCCAATTCGCTCGGGCGCAGCGAATGAAATGGTTAGGAGATGTCCTGAGAATGGACGAAGCGAGGACAGCGAGAAGGCTTTATCAGGAGAATCCAGGAGGAGTTAGGTCTAGGGGAAGACCGAAGGCAAAATGGATAGACAACTTGAAAGAAGATTTGAGAAAAAACGGCATATCCATCAGGTGCTCAGCCAACGGGCATGACTGGGCAAAGGAAATTGAGCAGGCCAAGGACCCTACATGCGTCTGTTGTGCCAGTAATGAATGAATGTTATTAATATCAATATACCAACTTAAATATTATGATTAAAGAAGACCATTAATATAAAATAGACTAATTTTCTGTTATTTTATTCCTTTAATATGTTGGCTATTTCAGACCACTGTGCATCATAGTTTAACCTATCAATAAAACTTTCCTAATTTACTCGGTTAATCGTGATTTGATGTTATCGGATCGATTAATTATGATTATAAATCATATTTAATCTTCCAATTTTTTGATATCATCGACAATCTATCTTTTCATGCATATGGTTTCGATAATAAGTTTCACTAACGAGATTTCAACTTTTATCTTTGTATTAACAGTGTGCAAGGAGTCATTATTAATAATTTTGTATCTAGGCTTACCGATCGATGGAACGATTTAGATTCGTTACAAACAAGTGCTTATTTTCGTAAACAAAGCACCATCAGTGAGATTTTAATTTTACCTTCCCATTGATGTTAATTCATATAAGAGGAATAATTATCTATACTTTTATTTTTCACAAACAATTTAATATTGGAATAAGCATATGTTTTTTATCCAATAATTTCGCGGCTCCATATGACATCATAATATTCTCATTGTTGCTCCAATCTGGTCGAACAACGCGACCATGAGCTCGCCACGAACCAGTCCCTCGAAGGAACCTGATAAAGTGAAAGTAGCTTTCCAACGTAAGGTGAGCTTTTTTGTTCTATTATTATCTGGTATACGCGATAGAATCATTAATTTAATTATTAATACAGCTTTTATATTTGAACAGTGTTAATTTATTTCAAGATGTAACAAGGATAACATTTCAATAATTAAAAAGTTGTAACTATCTGAGTTCTTAAATACATAAATTAATCGTATTTCAAAAGGAAAAATAAATAAAAAACAGTTCATAGGAAGGAAATCCTGGTTATTCATCCCTCTCAAAATAGTTCAGTGAAACATTCTGTTCAAACATCTGAAAATAAGTATTTACAAAACCCTTTCACTTTTAATTAAATATTGTTCTTCTTAATGTTCTTAGCAATGCGTAATCTAATCTAACCCATTACGATAAGAAACAAAGCATCGCCTAAAGATTCTACTGAATCATTGTGTGGAATATTTGAACTGAAGAAGAATTACTAGAGTGCATAATTTAAGATACTAAACAGCACGAAATATAGCATGACGTGAATCAGTTACATATAATTGAATAAATGAAGTGGACCTGGTGTTTTGGTTAGGGTTATCTGTGCTTAATCAACATGTTATCGTTTTTAAACAGACGCACTTATGTATTTCATCTGGTCTTATAATTGAATGTAACTTTTTAGGCAGAAATTGTTGTTGATATCATCATCCAACCTAATGTTAGTCGTATCGAACGGATTTTGTAGAGCATAACATGATAGTAATCGATTTATTTGTGCATTTTTATCCAGTTATAAATGTTTTCGTATCTATATTTTTACTCGGACTCATATTTATTATTACATTTGCACTCGATGACTTGTAAAGTTGTTCATTCAAGCGTCTCACTCAACCTCTGCTAGCTTTCAATACCAGCTATTCAGAATAAAGTATTGTGATCTCCTCAAATACTACCCACATGTAGAGAGAACAAGCTTATTTCAGATGTAATTATAATGTTTATAAGAAAAACACACCATTGAAAAATAACCTGGATATAAACTCAAATCAAACAAATCCCACAATAAAGATACAAGAATTCAACAAACAAGTTCATTCAAACGATTTTTTTCTATCATTTTGTTTACATTTAATTTTAAGATTGGAAATACATTTAAGCTTAAGATTGGATGGCAAAGGATAAGCTCCTAAAATCAGCGCTGAGTTCATGTATGACATCAGATCCGTCTCTGCACTAGGTGAAGCGATGCCATGAGCTCAGGGCTGAATTTATGAACTTGTCGAAATCTCACATTGCATGTTGCTGGAAGATAGACTGTGTTATATTGTCAACTGGCTTATTTAGATAAAATTAACATAATCACCATGCTACAACAATTTATAACTATGTATATATATATATATATATATATATATATATATATATATATATATATATATATATATATATATATAGTATATATGAGGATCATAGAGGTGGGCAAAACTACTCCGAGTACTGAGTACCAAGTATTTTACTCAAATTGAATCACTATTGAGAATTCAATCACTACTTCAGTTATGACATATGACATCAACTGAAGTAGTAATTAAATTCTTACCTTCTCAAAAAAGGTCAGTATTTGAGTAAAATACTTGGTACTCAGTACTCGGAGTAGTTTTGCCCACCTCTATGATCCTCATATATACTATATATATATATATATATATATATATATATATATATATATATATATACATAGTTATAAATTGTTGTAGTATGGTGATTATGTTAATTTTATCTAAATAAGCCAGTTGACAATAACTATATATATATATTACAAAAATATATATAGTTATAAATTGTTGTAGCATGGTGATTCTGTTAATTTTACCTAACAAGCCAGTTGACAATATAACACAGTATATCTTCCAGCAACATGAGCAATGTGAGATTTCCCTGCAATGCAATGTGAGCCCTGAGCTCATGGCAGCGTTTTACCTAGTTCAGAGACGGATCCGATGTCATACATGAACTCAGCGATTATATTATATTGAGCAGACAAAATAATTTAAAATTTCGAAACTAAAACTGTAAATATATAATACACTAATAAAGTAAATATAAAAATAAAAATGAATAATATATCAAGAAACACATTTAGTTTTGCTCTTTCCATTAATATTTTCATTTATAACATCTATAATAGTTCGCATAAAACCGATTTTTATTTTCTTCCTTATTTAAATCGCGTAAAGAACTTAGTTCTAAATGAATATGTTCCTTTAATCCCCTCAAGCTATGAATAGAAATAAAAATTAATGAATTCATATCAGGAATGAGATGTTACTTCTAAATTATTGAATTGATTATTTAATGATATATTTTATACTGATATGTTTTCTTTCAAATTAAATAAATTATAATCTCCACTCCTTTGTTGGCTCATTCGCTTATTTTTGTATTACTTTAGTGTTTTTATGTTTTTAAATACAATGATATTAAGTTTGTTTCTTTTTGCAGAGCCCACCGAAGCTGCAAGAACTCTGCGAGATCGTTGTGCAACCTCTGATTGGCAAGGAAATGGATGTGAGTAAGAATGCCTTTGTCATGTGCAAATTACTTAATCAACTACTTTGTCTCAGTTTATAAATTAATCTGAGTTAATTTATAATGACAATACAATTTTTCTTCTAAATACTTAAAAATACTGGCACAATATTATAATATTATTACAATACTATATGTGACTACAGTTTTAAGTTATTTGAAACACACGTTTCCCGAAACAGCAATGATTAGGATTTTGTTTTGAAAAAATAAATTAAAGCCATTCTTCTCCGATAAAGCAAAGCAAAAGAAAAATCTATTTGTGAAGGAAACGCTTTGTTGATCACTTTCTGGCGTTACAGTATGACCGATTAAGAATCTTTTGGGACAAAAGTCTATAAGTCATGTTATTGATAATGAAATATTTTCCTCTTATCCATAGTAATCCATTATTCCTAAATAGAAGTCACTAAATGATTTTCATGTCCATTTCTGTCCAGTATATATTTTTTTTTCCTATTTCTCTCTCTAGTGACTTTAATATTTTATTTTATTTTATTATTACGAGAGTAGCAGATATGGAGCTCAACTTATTAGGCGATTATTTTTCAAATTATACAGATGTTCATTTAATTACATGCGTATTAAGCTCCTGTTACCTTCTACTCTCCTAATACAAAATAAAGATTTTAGACTTAAAATTCGTACGAGAATTCACCTGAAGATGGTAATTTGATTTTACCTAAGTGATATCAGTGATTTTTCGATACAAAAATCGCCCCCTTGAATACAATATATTAATTATTACATTATGTATGATATTATTTATATTATGTTTCGATATAATTATAAATATTATGAAATAGAAAAGGAAGCACATTGTAACGTAAATTGAAAATATAAATAAAGCGCTATGTAAGTGTATGTAAACAGTCTAGCTCAAAAACGAAAAGTCGTATGAAACTGATATTACTTCTAATTTAAGGTATATGCTTTAGATGTGACAGCAACTTTTTCCTTAAAATCGGCTAACCTCTTTTTTATTGACAGTACTATAAAAAAATGGCTAAATATGAAGTTTGAAAGAATTGATGATAATTGGAAACTGGAAAAAATAAGAAAAATGCTTATCCAGGTTGAAAACGAATTTTCGGAATTACAGTCAGAAGGTATAGGTATAATATATCGTTGGAAAGCGGAGAATTTAAGAAAAAATAATATCAAATAAATAAAGTTGTAACAAGTAACGGAGAGTGACGAAAAAATATAAATGATAATATCAGAAAACTAACATTATTTAACATAAATCAAATAAAATTTGTAATAAAGTTTTCAAGGATATTAAATGAAATTTTCTTACTAAATGCAAAATTTAATTTTTTTTTCTTTAATCAACTTACTCACTATCTGTATAGATACAACTTTTCCAACTAGAAATATCACTAAAATGACATTACTGAAAAATGTTGATATTGGAGTTAGTCATTCTGTCAACTGAAAGGCTCAGAGACTGTAGTTGTGTGGTTCATAGAACCACATGGAGTAACTTGACTTTTATCCCTCCTCCCCTCCCCCTCATCGATATAATAAATAGAGTATTTTTAATTTTAATGGTCTTAATGATTTTTATCTGTAAGCTTTAAGCTTTAGCTCTGTTTAAATTGCACTTCAAAAATTTTATAATAGCCCAACATTGCCAGAAAGTAATTTCGATTCAAAGTTGAGCGGTAAATGAAAGCATTGCGCGCACCAATTTTTTTTACTTTAGGTGGACGTTCCTTTCATTTTATTAGCTAGTTTGAAAGCTGGGAATTAGTTATATAAGTAAAAACTACAATATTATCATATTTGAAATTGTTGCACCTAAAAATTAAAAGAAATTTCCTTGAGCATGTCAGCTATTGGTGTTTTAACCCTTAACACGATTGAAGTATACCCTATGTTCGAACTACACAGAGGGACCAGCTACGACCATGTGTGATTTTATCGAGATCGAGCCGAGGATACGACCTCCGTATGGCTCGGACGCTGTGTGGACAAGTATGTCCCGACTTTAAAACGTAAAGCACGTGAGGAAATTTCGATTGTGAGGGCAAAACGTTCTTAACTGCCCACTATAATAGCTTTTGTCAGTTACAAAGTAAGCTTTGACTAACTTCGACTATAACTTAATTATCACCTCAAAGAACATTTTTTTGCTATATTGACCTGAGACAATTCGTTTGGCCTTATATTATTTGTTATTTAGAACGTTCATATTCTGTGGAAACGAGACATTAGGTCATATACAGGACCACCTTTATTGGTTTTTGTTTCCTTACTACTAAAGATGTAATTTTATTCATGTTATAGATTAATTTTTCTTTCGTTTTAGACACCAGGGAACTAATTTGGATAAAAAAATCATCGGAATCGAACCAGTATTAGCGATGATACAGCTTATTCTATTTTTTACACATTTTTTAACTTATTACTTTCCTACCTATACTAGGTAAGGAAAGTATTGCAATCGGATTCGAAAGGTAATGAAATTCGCTACAAAGCCATATAAAAATCGTTCATTTTGGACAACTATTAACGAAGTTACAGCTATTCAATTTCCAATGTAAGGTTACGGTTTCATATCCTGGTGTCAAAAAGGGGTGAATGGGAGAATAAAGATGACTAGGTGAAAGTAGGAAAATCTGTTGCTCGCATCACACAATCTTGACTATTTCCTCTACTATTTCCTAATTATTGTTTGACAATACTAAGCTGTGGCAAAAAATTTTTGATCAGCAATATTAGGAAGTGTTGAAATTTTTATACTGATCTACCTTAAGCCGGTTAACATTGCTTTAGTTTATCAAATAAATCGTACTCAAATCTTATGTTTGATCAATTTTCAGGAAAATGTATCTAGTTCCATTCTTTTTTGTTTCTTCATGAACATATGTAATGATATAAAAACTTTTCTAAAATACGTAGGAAAGTCGTGTGAGTGGACACATCAGATATTTTCTTGACATGTGCTTACATGTAGTTTAAAATACAATTTAAAACAAAATAAATTTTTATACGAATTTGTCTCTGATAACTGATAGCTTTTGAGGAGAGTATCAACTCGAAACCCCCTCCCTTCCCCTTGAATCCGCCAGCGATGGTGAGGAAACTATACTGACCTTCATGGCAGAGGTTCCTTCATAACTTATGAAACTAATTTAAAATAAAAAAAAAATAAAATAGGTTATAAATACATTTGCGAAATTTTATTTAGATTATTTATTATAAATTCCTGTCCAATCTAGAGCTATACTCTTAAACAATACTCAGCTGGGTCTGTATTTCACGTGGGATGCTAGACTACCTAGACTATAGGAGCCTAGAGCTATTTGCAAGACAGCGGACTGACTTGATGAGGTTGAAGACAGTGTTCTCTTTGTCTCTCTTGTAATTAAGACCATTGTCCCAACCTGTCTGTTCTTCCCAACCTCTGTGGCTACATCATGCAATATCCATCTTCTTGAAATGTATTTACGCTGTCTCACAACCGCCTTTCCGGTAGCGACATCCATAAATTGTTTTTTATGACTTTCTTTAAACTTTGCACTTTCTGGTTTCCTTCTAAAGAGTGCCCATCCTCTCCCGAAGCAGTGCTAGCGAAAGTATAACTTATAAATGTTTTAGTTTAAAAACAATTAAACCTGCTTTGATCTGTCACATATCTTCTTCCTTGTTCCTTGGTTCGAAAGTTTCTTTAAATTGAATCCCCACAAACTTATAGTTCCCCCCGAAAATTCCTAACCCCTTAAAATTCAATTGGCATTAGTTAGTTAATAACAATCACAACTTATCAATAGTTCATCTGATTTAAGAAAAGATATTGCTATTTTTAAACACTTCAGTAACCCGAAATTAGGGTTGAACTATTTCTTCTTATGAGTTCTAAACTGAAATATAGTTGGGAAAAAAAAGAAATTTTATCAAGAATTCTTATTGAGCAAATAATTAGAGGTTTTAATTCATTTTAAGATCTGAGGAGTATCCTAGTTTGTAGAAAAATAAGTAAACTATGATTAAAAGAAACTTCAAGATGGACGTATAGACCTCTGAAACGTATTGTTCTTGATGAAGATTAAAATATATATAAGGATTTATTAATCCTTCTAATAACCTTATTTTAGTAATTATCATTTAATTTAACAATTCCGATCACAAAGTATTGAGTTTATAAAACGCAGATAAATAAACAAATCCGTCAACATTTCGGCAATTGTGGCATTATCAGGATTGATAAAAATTATTCACGTGATGGCTTTCTTACAATCTTTTTGTTCTTTTTTATTGACTTATTTAATGATATTTACGGAAACGTTTCATGAATTTTGGATTAGCAATGGATCTGTATTTTTGTCCGAAATAAAGATTTTTGACTTTTCAAAATCCTCCAAAACTTATCTTGAAGCAGATTGTATATACAAAACTACGATTTTCAATAAACCGCTTTAAAAATGTAAACGTTGAATTTAGATGTTTGTTGTATTTGTCCAAATCACATTTTACATGTTGGTTTTTCAACTCTTATATGATACCAGTTTCTGTTCTTCGTATGGATACAATCATTAGAAATATATATATCTCGTATTTTGAAGTAAGAATACGAGATATATTATATTCTAGTCGGGCTTTCAAATTTAAATACAAGTAAACCGTAAATAGAGAAGTGGACGCTGGGATTGGTGTGCCGCACTGACGCTTTCTAGGAATGGTTTATGGGCATTAGCTATTCCACGAAGGGCAGTAGTGACAAATGTCCTCGTTTTGAAATTGTGGACCGTAGATATTTTGCTTCAGAGAATACATGACCTGTTTTCTCAGGAAAAATATTAAGAACTGATACAAAGTAGGAATGAAGTTGAATTGGGTTTCGGTCTATTTAATGATGTTGCTTTGGGCTCGAATTGGGTCCTCCGTTCAGTGGAGCAAAACGCTCGATTCCAACGAGTTAGCTTTTTCTTTTAAATATTCCCTTGTATTAAATTCAATGAGGTAATAATTTGTAGAATAGAATGGAAATGTATATAAGCTCCGTGTCATCAATCCAGTTTAAACGAACTTATATATTTTCTCTGTCTGGACTTGTGCGAAGAAAATTTTTCGGATTTCTTTCTCATAATACGTTATAATAATTTGGATGAGGTCCTTTTGTATATTTTTTTCAATCATTGAATTTATAAAAATGTGTAAAGCACTTATTCTTATTTTCTTTGATGTATGTTTACACAGTTCTTAAATAATATTACGGCTTATGTTCCATATCATTTACTTTATTAAGTTTCATTTTTTCTGTCTATTGTTAAGCATATTAAATATTCACCATTGTTTTTATATTTATTAATCGAAATTATTACCTTCATTAATTATTTTACTAAATAATTTATGCCAAGCAATGTAATGTTAGTTGAAAATTGTATTTTGCCTCCTCGCTACCGATGGTAGGTAAGCATTGTATTCGTTTGGGAGTTTAAAAAAAATTATGTGCTCAGAATCGAAAATTTCTACTCGCGTTTTACGTTTCAGACACCAAGGATCAAATTTGGTTCGGTGTCTGTCTGTAGTCAAATCACCTACTACCGTTTATCCGATTTTCATAAATTGTTCGAGTTGGTGTCTAGATCATCTATCTTTTTTTGTCCCATATCCTTTTTTTCAAATTCTAACCATCACTTAGGCTTACGCACGCGCAAACGCATTTTTGTAGATATGCCAATATTTCTGAAATGGCTCGGTCTCTTTGGCTCAAAGTTAGGTATTTGTGATAAAATAATGTAGGATCAGTTTGATTGAATTCTGTCCGTTGCTTTCTCTTATATATGCGCAAACGTGTTTTCCTTGATACGTCTATATCTCTAAAACCGCAAGTTCAATTTGGATCAAATTCGGAGGGAATTTAGGGATTGGTAAACGTAAAATGAAATAGGCATCAATTTTATCAAATTCTATTTAATATTACAAAAAAAAATACTTCCGCTTTCAGATCTGGAAATGTGTTATTTGATATACCTATAGTTTGGAAACGGCGCATTCGATTTGATCCAATCTTGGAGAAAATTTGGAGAACAGTATAGAAATTACTTAGTATCAATTTCATTGAATTCCATTTAATAATTAAAATTGATATAAATAATCGTTAAACATATAATAGCTGTGAAATGTGAATGCACTGATCATATCGAGTGGGAGTAAGGTTATTACAATATTGTTATAGTGTTATAAAATTTAAGGTTTTATCCAAAAAATTAACTGTATTGTTTGGTCGATTCCAAAAGTTACTGGTATGACTTAGGTTTCGTGTAATTTTGAGTAAATTCAAACTAATTTTCACTCTAAATTTGTAAAAAAAAAAAAGTCTTATTTGTGTTTGTGTTTATTTCCATTAAAGTTCAACCAGCTCGACGTGGTCTCGATTTTTTCCTTAAATGTCCTTAAAATTGTGTCAACTTCACTCAGATTTTTTTAGTCGAGGTCTGGCGGTCTTTCCCTTAATCCTCGCGGAATTTCACTCTTCCTTCTTCTTCCTCGAAACGTTGCTCTCGTGATAAATGCGAGAATAATGCTAAACAAATTTGGTGATAGCATGTGTTCCTGCTTCACTCCGGTTACGAACTTGGGTTTCGGTACGATTGGATTTGATAGATAGTCTTGCTTCATGGACGATTCGGATTTTGTACCCCAGTGCAAATTATCCACGATTGGATTTATTCTCATTGATTGTTGGATCATTCATTATGGGATTACTCATCCCATCTTTAGACTATTATATTATGGTCATAATTAAAACAAAGTATTAATATTAGTTAATTAGCCCAATATTTGTGTTAATATTATATCATTTACATAATATTAAATATTATTCCATTTACGTATGATTACATTATATTAATTAGTAGAATGTTTGTTTCATCAATATAGCTTTGATCCTTTCAATATCCTATTATATTTATATGTTATATGTTATTTAAATACTTATAATCAATTTTGTTATGTTCTATGTAACCATGTTATAATAGCCTAACGATATTTCTGTTTTTTTTGCAGTATATCCAGCTGAAAAACTTTTCGAAGGCTGCCTCCCTGGGTAAGTGATATCCTCATCAAGGGCAGTGGGAAATTGACGAGGCTGTGAGAAACGAGCCACTCATAAAGGAGTTAAATCCTTCTGAAGTTATCTTTATCACCTGTTCTCAGATTTGAATTTTAATTTCAATAAATGATTACCGGATTAAATATTATGATCAATAAAAAAAACTGTTTTCTTTTTAGTTTTTCATATTATTTATTTATTTTAGTTTAAAGAACATAGGTAACTTAGTTATGTTGCATAGTTAGAAGGGAATGAAGCTTTGGAGAGGTTATTTTAAAGTAAGTCAGCATTGAACTAAATAAAAAAAGATAAATTGTGTATAAAAATATAGACATTGTTTAAAGAGAAATGTTTTTCCAAACGACATTATTAACTTCCAAAATTATGTTTTACATTTATTACTCAGCCTTACTGTTAAAAAAATTAAGTGACTATTATTGACAGAGGAAAAAAATACACACACACGCACGCACGCACTCACAAAAAAGTTTATATAAAAAATTACCCAATTTTCAGGAGAAAAGTAGAAAATTTAATATTTGTGTTTTTTTAAGGATCGCGTTTTTTGTTTAATAGGAAGCAATAACATAAAAATATTTTATATATATATTTTTTATTCATGATATTTATAACTGTATTAAAAGAAAAATATACATCTAGTAAATGTGCACTCAGGAATATAATAAAATGAAACCCCACGGGTAGCAGCACTCAAATAATAAATTTTCACTAGAAGATCACGCGGGCACCTTCTTTTCAGACGCCTCGGAGGGTTATCAAGGATCGAGGAGGAAGCAAGGTTTAAAACGAGAGGGTTCGGATGGTTCTAAAGTTCGTTATGGAAGGATAGGTATCTGGATTGGACCAAATCGGAAACATATGGAACATTAAGGTCGTTATACATGATTTTATTTGTGGCTAGGTAAGGAGTGTTGAGGATTTTTGATTGTAAGGATTGGATATGAGAGATATTCAACGGTTTAGTGGAACCCCAAAGCTCAATTCCGTAAGTCCAAATAGGTCTTCTTATAGTCATATATATGAGTCTTTTATAATTGATTGAAAGCTTAGAGCGTTTGTCTAGTAAGTGCTGCAGTAGTCGGAATCGTCGAGCGGTTTCTTGTCGTTTCAGTCTTCTATGAGAATTCCAAGTGAGTCGTTAGTCCTAGGTGGAGTCCTAGGTAACGGATTTGTTCAACTGGGATAAGTGGGGAATTTTTAAAGGATACTGTTGGACAGGATGTGAAAGATTTGCGACGAAGGGTAAAGGTAATTTGATGTAATTTATTTTTAATCTCCTGTTTTTGCACCATTCTTCAAAGTTTGAGATATGTGATTGGAGAGTTTGGGATGCAGTTGATGTATCTTTATTAACAGATAGGATATATGTTTCATCGGCATACGTGGTGACGACAGCGTCAGGATGGGTTGGGATGTCAGCTGTATAAACTGTGTAAAGGATAGGACCAAGGATACTACCTTGAGGAACTCCAACGGTCTGGAAAAAAAGGGATGAATAAGAATTGTGGCACTTTATTTTAAAGCATTTATCAGTTAGGTAGAGACGGAAAATGAGGAAATATGTAGGTGTTAGGAATTTACGGAGTTTGTACATCAGTACGGAGTGTCAGATTCTATCAAACGCCTGGTCAACAAGACGTCGACGCAGTACATTCTGCGTTCCAATGCAAAGGAGAGTCTACCACACGAAGACATTGCTGGATAGTAGAATGAGATGTGCGGAATCCAATTTGGTGATATGGGATAATGTGGTTAGAATCAAGGACGGGATACAGGCGTTTAAGATGAGTTTTTCTATGATTTTGTCCACGATAGGTAGAAGAGAGATAGGATGGTAAGAGGAGAGGTACTCTGTTTTTTTTTGGGGGGGGAGGGGTTTGTATCTATTGACAATGGACAGTTTGCACGGTCAGGGAAATATGTGGTATGGAGTACTACATTATAAATATAGGAACGAAATAGAATGGCTTTCTAAGGAAACAATTTTAGGATCTGAGAAGTAATGAAGTCGTGTCCAGGAGCTTTGCGGGTAGGTAGTCTGTTAATCAAATTGGATATTTCTAAAGGATGGAATCATTTAGATGGAAGAGTCATTCGGAGTTGAATATCCAGTTCAGCTTCAATACATTCAACTGTACAAATATGCACAAAATACAAATGCAGTACATTCCGCGCTCCAATGCAGAGGAGACATCTACCTCACGATGACATTGCTGAACAGTGGAGTGCGGAATCCAAATTGGTGATCTGGGATTATGTCGTTAGAATCCAGTATAGGACATAGACGTTTTAAGATGATTTTTTAAAGGATTTTGCCCATGATGGGTAAAACAGAGATAAGGCGGTAAGAACATGGATATTCTGGTGGCTTTTTAGGTTTGTGTAACATTTTCACAATAGACAGTTTCCAAGGGTCAAGAAAGTATGTGGATTTGGGTACAGCATTATATACATATACATAAGTGAGAAATAGAATGGCTTTCCAAGGACGCAGTTTTAGGATCTGGAAAGTAATGAGGTCGTGTCCAGGAGATTTGCGGGAAGGAATAGTAAAGTATAGTGAAAGGATGCTAGTTATGTCAGTTGGATGTTGGTAACAGATTGGATTTGGGTTAGGAAGTTGTGATGAATGATCGTATTTTCTTACGAGTAATAACTGAGGGCAGGATGCGACAGACGAAGTAGGTCTGCATTCGAAGGTACTTTTGATGAGGGTTTTGTGTGAATATGAGGTTGGGATAGATTAGGGTGCTGTGGCAGTTGTTTGATCCGTAAAAGTAGATGATGGAGAGGAATCGGTTGACGTTGAGGTTGAGGTTTAACAGATAGTGTATTTTCGAAATTACTTGCTCACCTTCTACTAGATATCTCCCTTATACCTCCCTTTCCCTTCACTTTGACTGGGATTTTCCATTTTTTATTTATTTTTTTTTATTATATACCAGGTACGGTTGAGAAGAGACTGACGAATTGTTTCATTATATTCACGATCATTATTATATTTACGATTATATTCATTACATTCTTTAGGTGCTCTCATATTTATAGAGCTTACTATACCGTTTGCTGATGGCAAAAAAAATAAAGAAATTACAAATAAATAATTTATAACAAATTGGTCAATTATGATAACCGAAAAACGATCTTGTATAATGTTAAAGAAAAATTAGTCATTGGTTGAACTATGACCATTTTGGTTTTTAGTGATAGAAGCTTTTATGAGGAATCCCTCATAGAAATTTCATTTAATTTTATAGTCATTTTTCCAAGTTCAAATTATTTTTCAGAACTCAGCGAGGTAAAGGCATGTGTGTCAGCAGTCCAACAGATCTTGAAGAGTGGATCTTGCTATGCTGTTAGCCCCAGTGATCTTGGCCAAGAACTTGAACAGCTTGGTCTTGACAGGCAGCATTCTCAAGCTATTGTGGAGTATGTGATGTACAATTAAATATTGAATTGTATTCAATTATCGAATTATATTATATGTATTCCCTTTTTCCTATTAGCTCATTCTACCTTCTCCACAGAAGAACATAATACTTCCAAGTATCCTACTCTACGTATCATGAAAAAAAAAAAGTGTTGATCTATCATTTTATTCTACCTATCCTTTGAAATTTCTCCATACACATAATGCTATTATAGCGAATTGGGGGGAAATTAAGAATGTAACTAGAAACCTGCAAATTTCAAAAGAAAGAAGTTGAATCCCAATACGCTTTGAAATGGTGAGTGTGGGTTGAATTATTATTATTCCAAGAATATAGTAAGATATAAAGCGTTTTATGGTTTAAGTCAGTTGAAGTGGCTTAACTGTACTAGTCATCACCAGTATGTTCTTCTTTTATTTCTATTCCAGTAAATAAAATCCCACCACCCATTATCTATCGTCAAATGTATCAAATTCAAATTTGTGAATTCCCACCATACCTATCTGATTTATTTACTTCGGCTTACAAAATAATGTAAAAAATCATGTTTGGTTCTACTCAATATTTTTTTTTCATTTAAAGCCTATGTTTCAACTCAAGCAAACCTAAATATAATGATAAAATTTCAAAAGTCGACCATTAGCCATTGCTGAGCTTACCCCTAACATAATTTCGTTGGACAATGCGAACATACAGGCAGACAAAAAATTTTTCAAAAGTAGATTCTGTGTCTGTAATGTATGAAATGGAAAGATATCATGAAACGGGTTGATTCTATTCAATCTTCAGACAAAACTTTTATTTTATTTATGAACATTATATTTTATAATTTCATTTTTAGTTCAAAATAAGAAAATAATATTGCCGATAATATTAAATGAGTTCAAATGTACCAGAAATTACAAAAAACAAAACATGTTGTCAGTAATGTTGGCCTAGTAAATAGCAACAGCAGAACTTGGTTTTAATATGACATGCAGGCCAAAAAGTTTGGTGTCCAGGTTTGTTACTCTTTTTCGTCCAAAAAGAAAAAATGTATATATATATTAAATCTTTAAATTTAATTAAATACCATAAACACGATACTACAAGAATTTAAAAATATTCATTTATTGATTGCTATTCAACTTTGTATTCAAGAGCTTTTTTTAAATGTCAAAAAACGAATATCAAGTTAACGTCTCCTTAAAACCACATTTAAGTGGAAGTAAAAATTGTTTGTCTTGCTATTCTTCAATTTGGTTTGATAATTTTCAAGACTGATCTATCAATTCACACAAAAATTATGATGTATTTAGAACTTCAAACAACTCAAAATAGCCCGACCCACCAAAACAAATCAATCGATACAAAATAATAATAAGCTATTTATATTACACCAGCTAAAAATAAACAATCAAAAAATATAAATAAGTTAATAAATTTAAAATATATAAATATTACAAAACACCTAATTTCTTAATATGCAAGATTTCAGTATACATAGTTAATAGTATTGGTACAAGAAATTAATACGGACATCTCCTGTCCTGAATGATATGCCAGCCTAATATAGTCTGATCAGCTTCACATCAAAGTAACTGCTTTTAGAATAAGTTATTTTTTAATAATGTCTATATACATTTTAATTGAAATAGTTTTAAATTTTTACTTCACACACACACTCACAAACACGAAATAAAATAAAATTTTATAATTAGTCATAAGTATAACTAATAATATCTTATGTTTTAGGGTATATTCCAAAGAACGGAATGAGATCATGAATAGACTCAAGGATCATATGATTCGAACTGGAAGATTGACTGATGTCAAGGCAAGCAAAGATGGAGCAAATGGAATCGTCCTACATCTCTCACACACAGACTACTGTGATATTAAGCGGGAAAACAATGTTTTCATGACAAAAGACCAAGCACAAATTTTCCTGGCTGGTAACTATCATGCATTTGTTTTAGCAATATTTTGTTAATTACTAACCACTAAAATTTTCATAAGAATTTTATCAATGGATTATGAAGATCAGTGAGAGTAACAAAAACTATTCCATTGCTTTTCAAAATCTAGAAGAAAGAAGATACCATACATTAATTAGTTTATCACAATAAATTTATGCTATGCATAATTTAATTTTTAAATGAATAAAGAGGAAGAATACCTTCTTTTGTTTGTTTTTGCTCAGAGGTGCAAACTCTTCAGTTCATCTACCTGATTTCTTTTAATTACAAAAAAAACAAAAAAATATATTAAAAAACAATGTAAAAAAAAAAAAAGAAGAAATTGGTTAGAACTTAACTCTTGTAATTTCTTGAAGCAGATCAATCAGAGGAAAGATAACTACTAGGTATTGGTCTCCTTTATGCTTAACATGCCATTATTAAGTATAATCCATATGGCAATATATCCTTTCTCGTCCCTTCCATTCTTTCTACTATTCTTTCATCGTTTGCTGTTTCATTCTTCTTTTCTCATATCTCCTTAGATCGGTTTTCTTTTTGTTTTTCTCTGAGTTATTTAAATTCTTAAAACTTTATTTTAAAAAATCGTTCTCTATAGTCTCTCCTCTTATTTTATTTCTCTCCAAATTTTCCAGACCTTGAATCCAACCTGTTAAAATTATTATTTTTTAAATTACTACCTTATTTTAATTCATTTTATAATAAATTTATTTTTTACCAAAAATGTCATTTCTATTTCTTTAATATTGGGTGAAGTTTCCTCTTTATACCAAAGTGGTCCTACATCTCCTTTCCATACTGACTAATGATGTTATTGCTAGTTTCCTCTGAAATTTCCTGTCAAATTTTTAGTTTAGTTTATGCAGAAACCTTCTTTGAAGAGCATCACGAATATCTTTGAATGGGTTTAATTCTGCAGATCCTAGAGGGAGAAGTTGCCTGATTCCTAAATTGACTAATGTGTCAAAAGTATTTCTTCCTTGATGTGACCATTCATATTCTCAGAATCATAAAATTTGGCTTTAAGATAAAAGTACTCTCAAAATCTCAGTGCATTCAGTGAAGGATATTGTGGAGGATTGTATAGCTAAATAATATAATTCATACCCAAATCTGTCATCCAGAGCAATAAGTTGAAGTCTAGTTCATTGGGCATGCTCCCTATGAACTCATTTCACAGTGATTCACTCAATCGCTTTCTGCTATGTAATGTAGGATTGTCTTGGGATGCTTCTCTGTACAACTGGCAGGATTCATTACCTACTACACCATAAATCTTAAAGTACCTTTAAGTTAACAGTGGCCTTAAAGCCAATTAGTTTTAGATGAAGATTTTTTTAATAACGCCTGGCTCGTCTAAGCCATTCACATTACGTTCACTCCTTGCCTGTTCTTCTGCAAGTCCAATCAAGAACCTCATTAAACTGATGTTGTTTTTAGACACCTATGAAGGTTCTGGCTACATAAGGAATGTTCAACATCTTTTGTTTCAAGCTGATCAGCTTTCTTGTTACCCATAACATTTTACCCACTTATTCCTTTATAAACAGGGATCTAAACTAATCAAGTAGGTAAAATTGTAATTGATTATTTTTAATGTTGCTTTTGTTTTTATTTGTTGCTCTTAATTTTTTGATTTTTTTTTTGAAGTTGGAAGAGAGAGACAGTTTACCCTTTATGGTTTACTCTATGTTTTCTTTTTAGTCTTAACTCATATTTGAGTGTTTCATTTATTTATTTTTTCTTTTAAAGTGGGGCAAAGTTTATGGTTTTGCTAGGAGAATATTCACCACTTCCTAAAACTCATTAAATCCCCAACGTAAATAACAAAACATGTAGTGGGAATTTGGTAAAGTGCCTCAATATCAGTGCTTTCATTAAGATCTTAAGAAATATGTCTATATTTTAAAAAGAGAAGTAGATGGATTTTAAAACATTTTTTCAGTGAGTCTAAGTAACACCTAACTGTGTTTAATTAGCCTCAAATTATGACTAATAATACAAGCATGTAGTTGTACCCAGTTCGATAAAATTGTGAGATATAGAAAAGTCACAAGATTGAAAAGTTTTATATTTAATAATTTTATATGAAATCATTTCCTATTATGATAATTAAACTATAATAGGAATTCATCACAGTAGTATCTACCTCATCATATAATATGTATGTCAAGATAACATGCGTTTCCTTAATGATGATTAATAATATTTTCTAAAATTAAATTATTTTTGTTCCAGAACTCAAGACTTTAAAAAAACGAATGGAACAACTTGAAACTGAATAAAATGAGGAAAAGTATTCCCGATTCTTCACTATATAAGATGTCTCTTATGATTATTATAATGTTGTAATAAATTTCTTTAGTATGATTATCATCTATAATAGATTTTCATTCCATGTAATTGTTTAAATCTATATGTTGGCATAGTAAATAATTGATTTTAGAAAAAAAAAATTATTTAAAGTATATTTGTATTTAGAATATTTTCATTTCTTATGTTATATTGCTACTGTTAGTGCAAAAGGTTGTATGTAAAAATTAAGTTTTTTACAGAAGAAAATAAAAACCGATTATTTCTTTATGATTTATTAGTATAATTTCACATTTTAAGTCCCTCGGCTATTTTCCTGTTTAGCAGACTACTTATAGCAGTTGCAGACAACAAAATATCACCTTTAGTGCAAAGAGAATATACATGTAAAATTATTTCATACAGCCTTTTGCAGTACATAATTTTTTTTTAACACTTTAATCTACCAATCTAAAACAATAAATAAATAAAACAATAAGAATAGTAAGACTTAGATAAGCTGGAATAATATATGATAATCCCACAACTACTGAATTATCTGGATTATAGAGTAAAGTATTTAGTATTTAACAATGTATAACAACACATACATATTTATATTTTTTAAAAATACTTATGACAAATTTATATTTTATAACATAAATTTTATAACAGGTTTATAAGCTCCTTATAATTTTGAAAAAGTACATTATTATTTTATTTTTATATTTTATTGTATGAGTCTAATGGAATATAATGGCAAGATCCTATGTACTGACTTTCTATCCTGTGTACTGACTTGGTCTAAGGGAAAAGAAGAAAGTGAGGGGCAGCATAACTACAGCATCAGTCAGATGGACTATTAACGATATATATGTTGTGTAATATTATGCTGTAAAACTCATGATGAAATTAGTGATGTGCTACTGTGAGTTGTCGAACTATTTTAAGTCATTGTCACAAGTTTTTTTTTTTGTTGTGTCCTAAATCTATTTACTAGAGTACTATTTCAAAAAAGTTCTGTTGAGGTACACTTTGTGGATTTATATAATATTATAAAAATATATGTTTTTATTGAATGAAATAAAATACAAGTGAATGTAAACATTAATTAAACCTAATATTTTTCTTAACTTTCATAAACTTCTGCTTTTTTTATTTCTCCTTCATAAAACTGTGACCCTCAAAGAATATTTATTCCAAAAAGATATTTTGAATCACTTCACCAGTTTTGAACCAGAGAGAGCCAAAATTAAATACAATTGAGGTTAATGGATTAACTGAATTTTCTGAATGGGCCAAACACACACACTCCTTGGTCTCCTGAACAAGAATTCACCTGGCACCTCGATCTTGTGCCACTGCTCACCAGTTGATGTTTAGTAGGTTGCATGTATCCCTGGCAACAGTCTCCTCCTGTCTGAGCTGCGATCTTCCTATTTCCCTTGGCTCAGTAGAGCCTCTCTTCCTGCAATTACTTTGGTATTTCTTCCTCTAGCATAAGTTTAACTTGCTATCACGGTTTCAAAGACTCATTTTCCAATCTAGTAAACCCCATTAAGCAATATTGCACTGGTGCCTTTCTGGACGTAGTGCAAGCTTTCGACCGGGTGTGGCACGATGGTTTGCTTTTCAAGCTCAAAACCCATTTACCCCAATCCTTAAACCTAGTCCTCAAATCCTATCTCTCAAATCGTTCCTTCCAAGTCCGTTGCTGTACCGAATTCTCCACTTACTATCCAGTTGAGGCTGGTGTTCCACAAGGCAGTGTTTTGGGTCCAGTTCTCTACATCCTTTTCACTGCCGATATCCCTCCAAATCCCGATACCTTCCTAGCTACATTTGCCGATGATACTGCCATTCTATCTTCCCACGCAGATCCTCAAATAGCATCTCAAAACCTACAATCTCACCTCTCCTTGATTGAGCAGTGGTGCAACGACTGGCGCATTAAAATCAATGAAGCAAAATGTAAACATATTACTTTCACTCTGCGACGCAGATCCTGTCCCACAATCCTTTTCAATTCAATACCACTTCCCTACTCAGATACAGTCCGTTACCTTGGCTTCCTTCTAGACAAAAGACTAACTTGGAACCCACATACGAGACTTAAAAGACAAGAACTTAACCAACGATATGGCCAGCTATATAAACTACTAAGCAGGACATCTCATCTTTCGATTGAAAATAAACTTTTAATCTACAAGACAATACTGAAACCTATCTGGACCTACGGACTTGAACTGTGGGGAACTGCTAAACATTCGAATATCAAACGCATCCAATCCTTCCAGTCCAAAGTACTTAGAACAATAGCCAATGCCCCATATTATGTCACAAATAAGACCCTACACCATGACCTTAACATCCCTTTTGTCCTCGACATCATCCCATCCAGATTCTCAAACTTTCACCAGAACCTTATCCATCATCCAAATCCTCTAGCTCAATCCCTATCCAGCTCCCACCATCCCTACAATCCCCCTCGAAGGTTAAAACGGCAGTGGCCGCGAGATCTATTGTAAATATGCTTCTGGAGTCCTGGCAATGGCCAGCTTCTCCACTCAAGTCCTGAGCATCTGTGGCTCTAGTGCCCTCCTTCAGCCTCCACTGGCTTTTAATACTAGTGATGCGGCTGGAAAAGTGGCACTGGGATCTCTGGAGTCCTGCTTTGCTTTCCACATGTGGGGAGAAAAGCCTGGCTCGGAGATTCCTGGGCGAATGTATATATTGTATATAGGTATGAATGTGTTTAGAAGTTTTTATTTTATTTTGTTTATTTATTTTTTTTATTTTATTTTTTATTTTTTTCTATTGATTTACATTTTTTTATAAGTATTATTTATTTATTTTTTATATTTATAGTTACTTCTGTATTACTTGTATATACTGTATGAATGAGAGCTTTTAGCCTTAATACTTATAGCCCTCCAACAGTGGCTGATTGTATTATTATTCAATAAAAAAAAAATAAAAAATAAAAATAAAAAAAAAAATAAAAAAAAAGTAAACAAAAAAAAAGGGTGATATCATCATGGGCGCCACAAACCTTTATCTTTCTACAAACAAGATTTTAAGTTAGACTGCTTATTTTGTTCCAAATCATATTGATATTGATAATGTACCAAACTGATTTTGTTGTATGAATCCCAAAAGTCCCTCCCTCATTGATAGTCAATCTATACAATGAATTTTCGGAGTCCATTCATATTTGTCTTATATTTTTTATTGCATTTAATTTTATAGAATTTATAAAATTCTATGAGTACATTTGTTGTCTGAAATATTGAAATGATAAAATCATTATTCCCCGACAATTTAATATTCTAGCACGGCCAAAACAGTTTATTATATTATGCAAATGGATTAAAACCTTACTTGACAGATAAATGAACTATTGTTTGTCCTGACAATTTTCAAAGGACTAACCTTGTATTTTAATAATTTATGCAATTGTTTTTTTATTTATTTGTTTATTGACAATTCATATATTAATAATAACTATTAATACAAATTTCTGTTATAATGATTATTATTTTATGGGAATAATATTCAAGTTATCCACAAACATTTATGATTAATTTAACTTGTTACTGTTTTAAACAGCTAGAGTACTACTAACCACTTTTATCATTTTGAAGTAGTGTGAATACAATTTCATTGACAAATTTAAGAATTTTCTTGATCTCTCAAATAAAACCCTATATGTTCCTCAGGGTCTCCAGTGACCAAGAAAATATTACTGGAATTTCTCGAACCGGAAATTGTATGAGAATTTTTTTTAAAAAACGGGAACTTTTCAAATTCTTTTTGTGCTATTTTTGTGATAAAATAAATGAGCTTGTATTTACATACGTAATAAAGTATATTGTTGTATTCACATTATCTTAAGAATAAATATTTATATTAATTATTAAATAGTCTTTGAACAGTCGCATTGTAGCGGTATTTTTTCCTTTGTAGTCGTTGATGTTATTAAGTTTTCCCATGATGAAAATACTATCTATCTCTATGGGTGGCCTGGTCGGAGAATTAGGTTTTGGATGCCTGGTGGGATGGGCATGTATTTCTGAAACTATTAATTTTTTCATATTTAATATCTACTATAAATTTGTGTAAAAATAAATATATGATAAATAAAGAAGAATATCTTATCATAATTTTATGGCAATATTATTGTGTTCATGATCAATCCTGTAATTACAAGTGTATGCATTTTGCATACATCTTATTTCAATAACAATTTTTTAAATTTTTCATTTCAACATAAACATTGTAGGATAAAACTAATACACTCTGCATATAATGGAATAGAATGGATTTTCTTGAAAAAAAACTCTGAATATAATAATGTATTAAGCGGTAATGCCAATAATTCTCAATTTCGAGGATTCTGTGCTCATTAAATTAGTAGCGGTTAACAAAAACAAGACGTAATTTTAAGGTAGTGGGGAAAGCACATCTGGGCAATAGTTTCATTTTTATTTTTACCCCTCGTCCGAGAAGCAGAAGAAGACCGTTATAAATTATGTGATAAATAATATTTATTTAGGGCGGGGTGGCCGAATGGGCTAACGCGTGTGCACAGCACCACCGTTTCCCGGCAACGTGATGTATGAATAATGATATCAAAAATAGTCACGAGTTCGCGTCCCGGTGCCGAGAGTCTTTTAAATCTCCGCCCACAGCCCCTGGCTCGGTAAAACCCCGTATAGCCTTAACGGCGAGGAAGGGGACCACATGAAAAAAAAAAAAAAAAAAGTATTTATTTAATGTTACGTTTTCATACATTTTAAAAATTGATTTGTAAATTTTGGTTTTTATTATATTATTGTTGTTAATTTTTATATTTTACTTAGTCTGATTAAGGATCTGTAATCCAGCAAGAGGAAAAAAAATGCAAATAATCCATGATTGTAAAAAAAGCAGAACTTAATTTTATTTGTTAAAAATTTCTTCTAGATTATTAAAGTCAATGACTACTTACGATAAAAGTAAATTTCGTCTAGTTTACTTTGAAACAATTGTTAATCACTACATTTATTTATTTTATATTTTATTTATGATATTTACAACTGCATTACAAATAAAAATACATTCAGTAAATGTGAACACAAGAATAATCCATGATTATATTATTCTTATAACATGAAACCACTTGTTGAGAAACTACCCACTGGTAGCACTCTAAAAATATATTTACAAAAAGAGATCTCGAGGCCATCTTCTTTTCCTACGCCTCGGAGCGTTGTCATGGATCGAAGAGAAAGCAAGGTTAGAATCGAGAGGGTTTGGTGGAAGAATAGGTATCTGAATTGGGCCAGGTCAGAAACAAGGAACATTAAGGTCGCTATGGATGATTTTATTTGTGACAAAGTAAGGAGCAGTGAAGATTTTACGAAGGATTTTGTATTGTAAGAATTAGATACGAGAGGAATTCGATTGCTTCGTGGAGCCCCAGAGCTTAACTCCGTAAGTCCAAACAGGTCTTCTTATATTCATGTATATGAGTCTTTTGCACTGGAAGCTTAGAGCGTTTGTCTAGTAAGTGTTGGAGTAGTCGGAAGCATAGTGCTGTTTCTTGTCGTTTCAGTCTTGAATGAGGATTCCATGTTAGATGTTTATCTAAGTGGAGTCCAAGGTATCGGATTTGTTCAACTGGGATAAATGGGGTATTATTAAAGGATACTGTAGGACAGGAGGACATTACGACGAAGAGTAAAGGTGATTATCAAACCCGTTTAGATATTCAAAAAATCAATTCTGAAAAATTCGATTTCCTACCAAAAGTGGTTCTATACAACCTTTTTTGATTGGTTCTGAAGCATTTTTGAAAATAGATGTAATCGATTTTGAAAACAAACGCCTCAAATAAACAATAATGAACACAGCAGCCTATAGTGTAATCTAAGCTATAATTGCAAACTATACTCATGTTACAGTTTTTATTTTATTTTATGAAAAGTTTATTCGATTACTGGTCTGTACGTCACTAGCGGATCCAGGATTTAATTTTGGGGAGGAGGCTTCAGCCCGAAAGATTTATTTCATATACATATAACGATAATTAATTTGAAAAAAAAAGAAAGAAATTAACTACCTATAAGAAATGGTGTTTAAGTGGTTCTTGAAGTCTTATTAAATGTAATTAAACGAACAAGCATACTTTAAGAGATAGATTTAAATATTTTTTTCTGTAAAACATGATTATATTTTACCATTTGGGAGGGGAGGGGGCTTCAGCCCGAAAGTTCCCCTCCCCCGTAGATCCGCCTGTGTGTACATATAAATGGGAGTTTCCAGGTCATGTTTTCAAGTGGGCGGGGTGGCCGAATGGGCTAAAGGGTGTGCACTGCACCGCCGTTGCCCGGCAACCAGATATATGAATCAAAGATATAAAAATAGTCACGAGTTCGCGTCCCGGTGCCGGGGGAGTCTTTTAAATCCCCGCTCACACTCCCTTGCCCGGGAAAATCCCGTATAGCTTTAACGGCGAGGAAGGGAAGGACGAAAAAAAAAAAAAAAAAGGTCATGTTTTCAATAATGCCGACATAGCAACAAATGAAGACATGGCGAAGGTTGTAACACCATGGTAACAAAAAGGCGATACCCGCGAAGGTCACGTCGAAGAAAATAAAATAGTATCATATAGTTTATAATGAAGAGAAGAATAGTTGGGCTGATTTGTCAAATAAGAAGGCAAAAAATAAATGATAATATTTATTTTGACATTTGCCGACGTTTCGTTTCCGGAAATTGGCTAAACCGACTCATCAAATTCAAACGTATTGAAAGTGAGATTTCTTTGTTTGGAGACATTTTCCAGAGAAATACAAGAATAATTATTCCAGAATCTCAGAGGTCGAAAATTTTAACTTAAGTCCATGAAGGACATCCTGGAATAGTAGCCATGCAGCAAAAGTTTCGTTCAAGGGTCTGGTGGCCTGGTATTGATGCTGCTGCCGAAAAGATGGTAAGACCATGGCATTTATGCCAAGTGGTGGGAGTTGCTCCATCACCAGAACCAATGTCACGAAGAAAAGTGCCTGAAGCTCCATGGATGGATATTGCAGTAGATTTCATGGGCCCTCTTCCTTCAGGTGATTATTTGCTGGTGATCACAGATTATTATAGCCGTTATCTAGAAGTTGCAATAATAAAACAATCACAGCGAATAAGACAATAGAACCGTTAGAAAAACTTTTCAGTAGATTTGGCCTGTCGGAATCCATTAATGCTGACAATGGGAAGCAGTTCACTTCCAATGAGTTTTTGCAGTTTTGTCATTCCAACAATATTAATTTATACCATTCTCCTCCTTATTGGCCACAAGCCAATGGGGCTGTTGGAAGACAAAAGAGAACTATTCTGAAGATGTTGAAATTGGCAAGGTTGACCAAGGAGGACTGGAAGCAGCAACTGCAACGTTACCTATTTCAGTATCGTGTCACACCACATGCTGTTACCGGAATATCGCTAGGAGAACTGTTCTTTGGGCGAAAAATCAGGGATAAAATTCCTTGTCTTTCCAGAGAATTGGCAAATATAGAAGAAGTGAAAGATCGAGACACGCTTCATAAGTTGAAAGGTAAAGAATATGAAGACGAGAAACGTGGAGCAGCGTATTTTCGAATTTTCGAAAAACGATTTAGTTCTTAGGAAGCATGACATTAAGACAAACAAGTTGTACATATCCCCCCATTCCAAACAAAGTAGTTGAAAAATCCGGAAATGTGGTGACGGTTGAGTCTCAAGATGGTGTTAGGCTGACTCGAGATTCAAGTTGTTTTAAACATTTTATAAGAAGATTGCTGCATCTGACACCGAGCTTCCAACTGGTCATAGGATGGATTCAGTTTTACCTGAAAAAACAACTCCCCAGCATCAGATAGAAGATTTTTCTACTCCCAGAGAGATTTCAGGAGTGGAAACTTTCTGCAGATCGACCTCGCAGAAATAGAAAACCTCCATCTTGGATGAAAGATTATGGGAATGGGCCTCTCGTGTGATTTTTCAAAAAGTTTCATTTTTTTTTCTCTCTTTTGTTTATTTGTAGTATAGAGACAACACTGACTGGGAAACACTGGTTATACGTAATATACATGTGATTTAATTTAAAATATTTAAAATAGAATTTTATAACTGTATGATTATAAAATATTGAATAAACTTTGAAATCGAAAATTGATTTATTATTATAAGAATCCTACAGCTAGGATTTTGTTTCTAATAATGTCTAATAATAATAATTAACGTTTTCAATAATGTTGACAAAGCAACGGATCTAGACATGATGGAAGTTGTAAAACGGTTTTTACAAAACGGGGGTTGGTTACTCGAAAGGCACGTCGATGAAAATAAAATATAACAACATTTTACAGAACCCTAGGCTTATATTATATTTCAACAAAGCCGTTTCTATTTATTTTTCCTTGTAAAACAATGAATGTTTTTTAAAGATCTTTTTGACGATATCAAAATAATGCCTTTCAAATCACCTTTTTAGGATAACAAAAAGATATCTTTCAGACAAGTTGCAGGTAGCTTCAACGGAAGTTATATTTGGGTGTCTCAAACCAGATGTTTTAATATTCTGTTTGACATGCCTTAAAGGTACAAGTGAGGTTGTCACCTCCCTTGGCATAAAAATTGGTCGAAAGTTCAACGTGATTCCTCACTTGGACTACATAAGAACTAGAGTCACAGTGGCCCTAAATGGATTCAGTCGTGTCGGAGACGCCTTCTGGGGTCTCAGATACCCAGCTACAATGACTATTTACAAAGGAGTAGTTTTGAGTATTCTGAGATATGCGTCCCCAGCCTGGAACCTAAACCTCTCGTACCAACAGAAGAGTAGGCTAGCATTGATTTAGAGATTGGCGTTACTTCGTGTTACTAGAGCCTATAGAATGATATCTCATGAGGCAGTGCAAGTACTGGCAGGGGGCACACCTCTCGATTTCCTCCTTCGAGAAGACTATTACCTCTTTAAAATGAAAAGAGAAGATTCGGCGGATCTACCGGAACATCTAAGGATGAGAATTGAAGAAGGCCCAAGAAGATGGAAAAGAACTATAAGGGAGGACACAGTTGATCAATGGAACCGGCGATGGATGGCAACTCCGAAGGGAGCTACCCTAAAAAAGTACTTCCCCACGGTCAAGTCACGATTAGATGCAAGATAGGTCTTCCCGGATTACTGGGTGTCTCAACTCCTCACAGGACACGGGGGCTTCCGAGCGAAACTCGTTAAACACGGGAAGAATATTGATCCGCTATGCCCCAACTGCAACGTTCCGGACACCGCCGAACATGTGGTCGTCGAATATACTGCCTATGAGGTACTAAGAGCTAAGCTCCTGAGAGGGGGATATATACACTGACAGAGAGCATGCTCCCTCAGCTAATGAGCAGAGAGAATTGCCCACATTATAGGGAATTCGTATACGGGTGGAAAGATGAGGTAGGCCCAACACATTTTAATGTGGGAAGAAGAGAAGGAAGTTAAGACAAGCTGCAGCTGCTTCGAGGACCGGCTTCAGGTGGAAGAATGGAGAAAAAGAAAAGTGTGGGCTTGTGCACACAAAAAAGTATACACCTCATAAATAATAATTTTAACAAAAATTTAATTAAATAGACCTATACTGCCAGCAGTGGCATACGCGTACTGCTGCTACAACCCGTATTGCTTATAAAACAAGGTAGGAAAAAAAATAAATAAATAAAGACATCTATAAGCCATCTTTTAGATAAATTTTTGCTGGTTGGGATACATGAGGTTGTTGACACCTATTAACTGGTGGACATCTCTTGTTCTATTTATACAAAATATTAAAAGAATAATGAATCCTTTTAATATTTTGCAAATAAAAAGTATTTTTATAAATCCTTATTCAAGATTGGACAGTGACATTCATGAGATTTATTCTTCTTTATAATTACGTGTAGGCCACAGATATGAAAAATGTCCATGATATTTAAACTCATAATAAGCTGGAATTAAAGATGAAAAAGAGTATTGTTAGATATTTGAAATTGGTTCAATTAAGAACTATGATTTCTGGCATAAAAGGACAACGGATATTTATTTGAAAATTACCCATCTAGCAAATCAACTACTTGGGCAACAATCACGACCAATTATCTTTTTTAAAACAACTCGAACAATGGTTGAAAGCATGTAGTTACCTGGAAAAACATACTATCTTTTAACCATATCGGTTATGACATACATTTATTTTTCCCAACTGTCTACTTCAAAATAAGCAATTTATTGGAAAGAAGCCATATCACCAAATTATTCACGGAATTCTTCACTAATGAATGACTATTCTTCTTTAACTGAGTAAGTTGTTATCGAGATTGTTTTATTTAAATTTCTTTTCTGCATTTCTATGACGACTCAAAATTGCAGTATTTCTTATATTTTTTTATTCTCACAATTAACATACAATACAAATTAATACATCCCAGAGAATCTACTATGACAAGAATGAGACCAAAATGTCCTTGACCTCACTCAAACTTGCGACCTCCTTGGCTTAGCTATAACCTAATGGAGAGGTGTGGATATTGACAAGAGATAAAAATGTCAAGTGATGAAAAGTTGTTTTTCAGAAAGATCATTCAGCAATTGGCCAGATCGTTAGCTGCAATCGAGGATACACCATGGGAAAAGGTAATAGCATTTTATTGATTGATTTAGTTGGGAAATTATGGGTTACATGATTAAAACTATTGTGCTCTATTATTTTCTTATGTTTCTCCTGTTAGGTGAATACACTGTTCTCATTATGCCCTCAAGAAGTGAGCCAGGGAGTCTTCAGATTGGACCAGAGAAACCAAGATGCAGTCATTGCACTGGGAATATTCTTTTTAGAATCGAGGCTACAACATACCGATAAAATTTTACCCTATTTATTGAAGTTACTACGAGCACTGCCAAAATCTATATGGCAAGAAGATGCTTGGACGATTCCTTCTGACAGTAATATTTCTATCTTTGGAAAATATTTTTTCAAATGCTTTCTATTGTTTGAATGTTTTAAAAATATTTTTTAGGAGTGCCTGTTGCTGAACGGTTCACATTCTGTTTAAATACTTTACTCAGTGATATAGCTACAAAGTTGCCATCAAAGCAAGAAGAAATTGTTTCAGCACAAGTCAAGTTTCTTGGAGATCTGACAAGCTTATGTCGTGCAGCTTTTGAAGAGTCTAAAACTCAAAAAAATCAAAGTATGTTCTTTGCTTTTAAATTACAAGTCTATTTATACCTTCATTTTTAATTATTTTACAAACATTGTTATATAGTGTTTAATAACAAACTATTTTTGTTTTTCTAGGCAACATTTCTAAAGTTGTCGTTCCTACACTATTGGGTCATGCAAGATCTTTGGGCAGATTTCCAGGACAAGATCCTCCCCTACTTTGCAGAATTTTCCCTAAACCAGAAAAACCTACTGTCATGAATGTTAGAAATAGTGAGTCTGTTAAAAAGAAGAGTTTTACAAATTTCAGGTGAGTTTACCTTCTTGACAACTTTGTGTAATCTTAGCATCAAATGTAGCACAATCATTAACATGCTTCAGGCAGAATATTAGCATTGTTCTTAGTAGCTGTTGCTGGTGTGAGTAATATAACCATTCACCTTGTACACTATTTTTTAGATAAATAAAAATCTTTCTTTTTCCTCCATAAATTTCATGTTTCATAATCTATAAGTTTCAAGGTAGAAGGTTGTAAGCATCAAAACAAATAAATTGAGGTTTTTAGTGTAAATGGATCATAATCTTTTGATATGTTTATTTGCAAAAATGAACGTGCCTGACAAACAATTTTAATACTGGATCCTCTTTTCTGCCTCTCTGTAGTTCTCAGATCATGAAAACAGTTTATAATGTTAGGCTAACCACAATTTCTATCATCTCATGCTAGATTTTTTCTATTTTCAGATTTCTATTTCTACTTTATGATGCTCTATTGCCATTGTTATATTCTATTTCTATTGGTGTCTCTATTTGTTTTATTCTATTTCTACTGTGCTAAAAATTAATGTTCAAATTTCTCATTTCTTTCCTGCTTCAATTCTAGCTTGAGATGAAAAAACTATTGTCTATGAACCCTTTTCACTGAAAATCTCTAGTTCTTCATTTTCAAAGCTTACACCTTGACATCTTGACTTATATATTTTTACAAATTTTTATATTTTCATTCATTTTTCTGTGTGGAACAATTTATTCAGTATTGTTAGTGGATATTATAATCTTAAATTGGAGGTTTTTATTAAAATTTATTTATCAGAATACATAACTTAAATTATACATGGTGTTTCAGGGTCAAGTGACCAAACTGCAAAAATGAACTAAGGACCTCAAAAAAAGAAAAAAATTTCCACTGAAGGTGTGTCCGCAAATGCTTTGTTTTAGAGATATTCACACCTAAAGATTTTTGTTGTTATGATTTATTTATGCTATACAAAATAAATAAAACCTATTTATTTGTTCCAACTATGTTATTAATTAAATGTAAACATTAACATTCATATTAAATGTTGTTCAAAGTGATTTCCTTGAGCATTAAGACTGGCTCGCCATCTTAGCTGCAATGGCAGAACGGCACTGGTTATGTGTTTTCATTTTACAAGATTCAATTACCCTTCTTCGTAAGAAATTAAGGTCATTGACCGGATTTGCTCAATCATATCCCATATCCCAATCAATGGATTGGCCGTGCAGGACCAGTGGCGTGGCCTCTTCAGACCTGACACCACTGGACTTTTTTGTTTGGGGTGACATTAAACAAAAAGTCTATGCAAGTCCGGTCAATGACGTTTATTCCTTACGAAGAAGGATAATTGATTGTGAAACAATAACACATATCCAGTGCCGTTCTACCACTGCTACGGTTGAAGAAAGATGCCGAGCCTGTCTTAATGCTCAAGGAAATCACATTGAACAACATTTAATATGAATGTTAATGTTTACATTTAATTAATAAAGTAGTTAAAACAAATAAATAGGTTTTATTTATATCATGTAACGTTAATAATTCATAACAACGAAAATCTTTAGGTGTTAATATCTCCTAAACAAAGCGTTTGCGGACATACCTTCAGAGGAAATTTTTTTCTTGTTTTGAGGTCCATAGTTCATTTTTGCAGTTTGGCCTATTAACCCTGCAACACCCTGTATAGTGAAGGTTAATTAATACATTCTTGTTATCAGGAGTTCTATGTTAATTAATTGTGATTAAAAAAAATTAAATTTCAAGCAAAATTTTATGTATGACTTATTTATCTGTTTCTTTGTGTTAAGATTGTTATATGTTTTGTGGGCTTTCTCCTCTATTAAAACAGAAGGGAATTTCTTTGTTTTTTTTAATTAAATGAAACTTAGCTCTTTCTAAGATTTATCATTTTCTTCTATGCATTGTATACATTGTAATATACTTCAAATATTGTTTATTTTCCTTTAACATTTTAGTATTCACAGTGGCCAGAAAAGTTTTCATACATGGACACTAGAAAAGATAAAAAATCTTTCCTGCATATTTTTTTATTTGTACGCCTGATTATAATTTCAATACCTCTCTTATCAATTTTCTCAAAAATAGTTACTTATAAAACTCCATATTCCCATCTTCCTGGAATACTGCCCTAGTCCGATGTTTTAATAGAACTTCAAACCCTTCCTCATTTCATGATTTCTGTCCTATTGCTCTCCTTTTCAACCTTTTAAAACCGCTGGAACACCTCACTCAAAATCAACTTAACAACTTCCTGGAAAAACATTTCCTAATCAACCCTGTCCAATCTGGCTTTCATCCTGGTTACCACCCTCCTAAAAATAATCCATGACTTCCAATACTCCATTGAACACTAAAAATTTATTATCCTCTTTTTCCTAGATTTTTTCAAAGCTTTTAACACAGTTGACCACAGCATCCTCCTTACTAAACTGCAACATCTTCCTCTATCCAACATTGACCTGCGATGGTTCAAATAGATCCCAGTATGTAGTCATCCAAGGTCAGCCAGGAGGCTTTGAGAAGGGTTTAATTCATATATATATATATATATATATATATATATATATATATATATATATATATATATATATAATGTGTGTAATTTTTTTTTCTTTGGTGCTATAGGCAAAGTAGATCTTTGGCTGCGAGATGTAATCTTCTTACAGATGCATATTGCTTACGGTAGCTCAGAGAGCCTAGAGAGGGTCAGCCAACCTCTTGTTGATATGGATGCGATGCAGGCTCAAATACTCTCCCAACCAGCTATTTCAGCTTAGCAAGCAAAAACAGTGACGAATCACTTCAGATCGATGGGTTATGTCAGAGTCAATTTACGGATATTGTATAACTAAAAAATTATACAAATCTCCTCTGCAGGTCCAGATTTAAATCCTATCAAATATTTATGGGCTCAGGTCGGTTCACAGCTCAGAAATCAAAACATAACGCCAGTAAAACTAAATTTTTTAAAGAATGAGGAAACACCCTCCCAATTGATTTCAAAGTTGACTTAATCAATGCCTAAATGGCACTCAAAACAAAGGACTGCATTCAGAATATTAATTTAAAATTTTTTAATAAAATAAATAAATGATTTACTGTATAATTTAGCAATGTGCGAAAACTTTTGCTACATTAAAAAACTTATTTTATACTTTATTTTGTAATAAAAATACTTATATTGATTGTAAAGCAAATATTTTTGAGAAAATTGATAAGAGTGGTATCAAAGTTAAAATTTAGGGATCAAATAAAAACTATGTAGGAAAGAATTTTTTTATTTCCTATCAGTGTGTGTATGAAAAATTTGCTGGACACTGTAAATATACCGGCAACATTGAGGTCACCTCCATAAAATGTCATTCCCCTTGTTTTAAAAGAGGCAAGTGTCTGCATGATTATTGCTTTTTATTTTTTATTTAGATTTAACTTCCTAATGTTCTCCAACTAGACCAATATTATTACTTATAACTTCAAGAAGTATATGCTTCTTTGAACTGTCTGCAATCCTTTCTATTTCTAACATATATCTGTGATGATGGATCTAACTTACCTTTAAATTGATCCGTTTGATATTTATCTAAACAATTATCAATCAAACAAGACCAACCCATGATTTCTATTTAGAGTTTTATTAATTATTAATGACAATTATTACAACTTGACTAAATTATTCATCAATGGACAAAATTATCCAGTACTTAGTTTATTTGGTTTAACCCTTTCTGTGCTGAGGTGTATTTTATCTGCTACTCTCTCTTGCCACCAGTGAACTTTTAATCTTTTCTATGCAAAATGCTGTTTTTGCATTTTTATTTCATAGACTGAAAAAATATTACGGTTTGTCATATCAAAATTAAACATGTAGCTGAATATCCTATTTGAACTCCCTCCAAATGTTCTAGTAGGACATCCAGCTATATTATGTTTTGTTTTTTTTTCATTTCAAAATATTTGTCAATTAAGACCTTCTTAATCTTTTCAATGCTATAAATCAATATCCCTTATCTGACAAATAATTTTTTACACTTATGTTACATAGTAAATAAAATTATGGGTGTTTTCATGTTCACTAAAATTTCATATTCATCATATCACTCTTAAAATGCATTTCATGCTGTCGAAAACTTCCTTAGAACTAAGGTGACCAGATTTTAACATTGCTAAAGTGGGAGACCATTGACCAGAGGAGGGGGACGAGAGAATCGTCGAAATTTATTGTTACAATAATTAACTTTAGATTATGATAATCTCGTGCAAATGTAAATCAGGTAACATTGTATTCAGTTAAAATGAGATAAAGACTTTACTTCTAAAGACGTATTTTTGAGAGTGAATAATTTGATGGTGCATTTGATGTGTAATTTATGACTTCAGTAATAAATCAGTTTTTAAGGCTTAGATGTTATGTGCCAGCAGTTCATACACAATCATACAACTCTTTTTTAATTAGAAACAACAAAGGTAACACAATTTTAGTAATTGAAGGAGTAAATGAAGTTAACTTGCTGATGCCCAAGATTTAACTTTTTCTTGTCAATATATTTTTTTTAATAACGATACCTTATTAAAAAGATTATTTCCTGGTCGATTTATTAGGTCCATACAATGGTGGTTGAATTCTAACAACTGATCAACTATGCAAACCTTGCTAAGCAGTTCTCGATAATCTGTTCTTGACAATTATTAGATCTTATTAAAGTTCAACATAATATAATGAACAAAAATAATATAAAACTCATATCCTGGCAAAATAGCCATATGACCATCAATAACTGTATATTCTCTTCCTGTTCTGCCATTCCCTAGCTTATCGTGCTTTCTTTCCGAAAATTGGGACTGTTTTAAAATGATGTGGAACAAAAAATTAAAAAGCGGGATGTCTGGTCACCTTACTTCGAACTCTACTTTTATTATTCTGCCAAATATCTACCTCATATCCTTTGAGACTTATAGAAAAGAAAAGTTGTGCATAAATTAAAGCATATGCTTAGCAAATAGTTTTTATAAATTCTAAAACAATTTTAAAAAGAACAAACTTGTATTAAAAGAAATAATATTGAATTATTATAGGCTTACATGGAATTATAAAGACAAATAATATAACAACACAAGTTCTAGGCTTCTAAAAAGTCTCATCTCAACTATTGTCAAATGACTATATTGAAGTTTGAAAACTAAAAAAATAAAGTTTCTTACTTATAGTCAATTTAACTTAATTTTAATTAAATAATTCCATTTGGATAAAAATCAGGATTACACCCTTTCGTTCTACTATGCTTAAAATTTGTTTTGAGTTATTGTTTTTCCTTCATTGTCTTGTTATTCTTTTGAAACCTTAGCCTGACAGAAAAATTAATAAAAAATGTCATGAGACTAGGCCAAAATGTTTCTATTTTCAGTAGGATGACTGTAAAATGAAGGCTTAATGAAAATAAACTTTCAACCAGCTCATGGACATCTTTTTACCGCATCCCAAAAAATATCAAGTCTTCATTTCATATAAGAACATGAATTAGACATTGGAAGATTGGGGAAGAATTCTTTTTACTAATGAAATGTGAGTTGGCCTCAATTATTCAGAGTTTCTTGCTGAAGCAAGATAATCTCAGGCCTCATATTTCATGTATTGAGAGGGGTCGGATGGCTGAGCAGGTTAACGCATTGTGTAAAACACGTTGCCCAGCAACCTCATAAATCAAACATTACAAGTTCAAATCCCAGTGCAGGAGGGACTTTTAACTCTAGCAGTAATCCCCTGGTCCAGGAAAAACTCTGTATAGCCTAAAAGACAAGGAAGGGGAGAAAAAAAAGTGCACTTATTGTGAATGACTTCCTGAATAAGGTCGGAATTGAGTATCTGGGACAAGCTCAAGTCCAACTTTAATAATTAAATAAATCTTAGAATATTTTGCTACTTTCCTCTTTCTTACTGTGTTTCTAAGTAAGGGAAGCTGTGTGAAATTGCCTAGAGTTTTCTAGATTGATACTTTGATTGATGGTTTATGATACTCTATTCCTTTGGTTCATAGCGTGAACTTTATAAAGACTATAAAACCTTGCTCGATAAACGTTCTATTTAACACCAAAATAAATGTTTAAAGTTAGATAGGTAGTTATTGAAAATAGTTCATTCAAACAAACAAATACCTCATCTTTTTCTCTTAGTATAGATAAGATATAATTTTATTTGTTTTTTGTTTCGATTAAAAGAAAAATTTATGATTATCTTCATGCTTCAAAAACTACCTAAAAACTGGTTGTTATTATTATGTAATTTGTTCATGCATAAACCTTTAATGGTAAAAATATTTGGTTTTGAGATGATTTTGGCAAGTTGACTCGTAAGTATGTTTTCTGTAATTTTTTAAACTATGTCTACAAATCCTACATATTTTTTTTGATCTACTTCAAACTTTTTCCTTGTTGAACCTGAGAAAAGAAAAAAAAAGATTCAAGGAGAAAGTTCTGCAACAAAAGGTATTACATAATTAAAAATAAAGTTAAATTTTTGGAAATTGATATTTTTGATCTTAATATTTTAAAAATTCCATACATTCTGTTAAATGTTGGTTAAAAAAGTTATTGTGTGATGGAATGGAAGAATTCATTTTTATTAATAGAGTACTAAATGCTCCGAAATATATCATGTTACAATTTAATGTTTTGAAGGGGCTACTATTGGATGGATATCAGTTGAAGAAATGAAGTTATAAAGAAAAAACTTTCAAATATATTTTTCAATTTAGTGAATATAGTTAATTTTAGGTAAATTCAATTAGTTTCCAGTTATTGGTTAAAAGCAGTAATTTATATTGTAGTTTCATTGTTAGAAATACAGTCAAGTTCTCGCTAATAATATTCGATGTAGTCTTTCCATGCATGAAGTCCAGAAATGCATCAGCTAATACGCTTTTGTGTGTAACACTTCTTGCTGGTATTATGTTGCTTTGCTATCGTTCTAACATGTTATTTGTTTGCTATAAAAGATGTGTGTGTTTTTTTTTGTTGTTTCTAGGTCGATAATACCAAAATCATTGTCAGGCAATCTAAACTTGACAACTCTTGATATACTTACTTTGAGTTACCTTGATCCATCTTCCGATATGACGTATGAGAATTTATTTTATAAAGTTCTTTTCTTTAAATATATATTCTATAAGGCAGAAACGAAACAAGTTATTCTTCTATGATGTTTTCTTTCAGATTACTATGTAGTAACTCGAGTCAACAACAAACTGTAGCATACGACCCTACAACTCATTATTTTAGCAAATATGGCTCGAGTTTTAATCAGTTTTCACATATGAAATTGACAACAATTCCAGAAAAGAAGCCTCAGATTCAATTTCCTATAGCTCACCTACAGGTTGCTCAGTACTTAAATAAATATATATTTTTTTAAATATTGAGTTTAACTTATGTAATATTTTCTTATTTCATTTTAGAGCGTTCTGGCATGTGCTAAAAAACTATTAACTCCAGAACTTTTATCTTTTCTTGATGGTCAGGCATCAGGATTATATTATTCAGGCCAGATAAGAATATTCCCTTATAGAACAATCAGTGAAACGTTAAATCTTGTGCTAGTTACTCTTCTTAGAGAATTGCTTCGATATCAGACAGGTAAATCCATTAATCATTAGAGACCACAATAAGGTTAGGCAGTGCTAATGAAGACCACAAAAATTGTTTATATTTTACTATTGCTATTTTTATTTATCATTAAATATACACACTTGTATACATATATTCAATTTAATTCTATTAATTTTCAAATTTTTGTAAACTTGTATAAATATAATTTTATATGTGTAAATTTAATATATACCTGTTTGTTATATGTATATAATTCTGAACCAATCATTCTAATCCTATTGAAAAAACATTACTTAGTATTAGAAGACATACTAATGTGCCAATTCATTAATTTGTAATTCTGAAATTCTCAATTAAAGTATATTACTGAAATTTAACCTATCCTAGTGATGAATCTTGATTTCAAATTTATTTATATTCATTACATTTCACTAATAGATAAAATAATATTAATTGAATTAGTTTTTATCTCAATAAAATAAATAAATAATATTTTTTTAATATTTCAGATCTCCCAGCACCTTTTACTAAAGATGTACAAGAGTTTGTGAAAGGTTTATTCCTTTGTGGCCAAACAGAACTGCAATCAAGGCACCATGATGCCAGTGAAAAGGAAGAGAGAGAAAGTAATTGTGCCACTGTTAATAAGTTCAAGCTTAATGTTATGGCCAATTCTGCCTGCGTTGACCTTCTTGTGTGGGCTATCGCCGATGAAGCAGGTATTTAAAGTTTATAATTAAATTTTATCTCAGAACAGATCCTGTCTCAAATGTTGTTTAAATGTTTTATTAGTTATTTTTGAGGTGTTAGTTTTATTTTTCTAGTTATAGTTGATATCTGTTGACAAATATCAATCTACTTACTAAAATAAATTAAAAGGTGAGTTATCTATTTAGCCATAATATATGTCTGTTATTAACCATGGGTTGTTTTTACAGCTGAAAGCCCTTTAGATATGCTCCACAAACTTACTGCTCAAATCAGCTGGTCAGGTCTTGAAAATTCAAAATCCTTGTGAAGCGTTTGATATTTAACATAAAATAAGTTCAACTAATTATTATAAATCATAATCAAGCATGCTTGTTTATTTATTGATTTGTTTAACATTTTAGATTTTTTTTAGTAATAATTATTGATTTTTTTATTGTTAAATTTTTATTGTCTGATCTAAAATAATAATAATAAAAATTATAAATCTAAAATAATCAACTTCAAATAATCTAAAATAATCAACCTTGAATTGAAGTTCGATATTATAGGAGTGAGATCAAATTCTTTCTTGCTACTGGTTTTGGTCCTTCATCGGTTCTCCTCTCCTGCTTGTCGATTGAGAAAAATTAATAAGCAGGAGAGGGGTACCATTATAAATAAACATGATAAAGGGCCGAAATCGGTAGTAAAAAAGAATAAGCAATTATATAAAGGAAGACATATTTGTATTCAATTTAATCAATTTGTTGTGAAATTTCTTGTAGACTTTGAACATTGTTTATTTTTTATTATCAATTAAACAATCTTTATGAATTTTTTTTTCACTCTATAACCATAGAAATTGTTTTCCATTAATTTTCATATGAGTTTTACCATATCTGTTTTAATACTGATTATATTTTCTTTTTTTTGTAATCTTGTAACTTGTCTTGTTATAAACTTTTGTACTCCGAAACCATCTGAATCCTTATTATGTATCAAGTTTCAAGCTTCAATCACAATCCAACTTACGGAGCTACATTCAATATCGGATTATCATTGGATTAAAAATTGGATATGTGACTGACATACCCAACATCCTAACACCTTGGATTGTGAGTGGGAAAGTCATCTGATCGTCTGTCTAATTAAATCACTTTATAAATAAATTTAAGTGTTATTGCACTATGATTTTTATTTTAACTGTGATTGTTTTGTTTCTGTATTCAAATTTCTCTTCCATTTCTCTTTTTTTCATTTTTTATATTTTGTATCAACATTAATTCAGAATATAGGTTTGGTGTGATTTCTGGTGCTCATATGATCTTCTGGTAACCAGGAAATGTTTAGTTACTATAAGTTGTTATTTGATATTTGTTTGGATTTATGATCTAGTGTAGGGGTTCTTAAACCTCTGTAGTCTGTGGACTGACTCTTGAACTACATTTTTCTGCTGATCCATCTTTATCCTAGGCATTTTAGCTCTGCATGTTAATAACTAGTTAAGTTAACAATAAATACAAAAAATCTTTACTCTAGACCAATTTGATTAAATTAGTTATTAGAATAAAATTGAAAAGTTGGGTGATATAAAACTAATGTCAAAATAGTTTTGTGGACCATTTATAAACCTATCCTTTACTGAATGACGCTTAGTCATAAAAAAAAAATTATTTTCAATTTTCAAATAGTTTTTGTAATCTTCATTATCTATTTTTGCATCACAACAGTTTATTTGGTCAATATAACTTTTTTTTTTTACTTAGATAATTATCTTGTTTTGTAACTTCAAAGAAACTGACAAATTGTCAAAATCTACCTTTTTCTAAATAATAATAATAATAATAAAACTGTAATAATAATAAAACAAATAATTATTTCCTAGGCAATGATTTTTTAAGCCTAAAGAACCGTTAAAAAAATCTTATTTTGTAGTATCAGCATCTCCTTGTTGTAGTTATTTAGACCTAAGAAGTTTTTTGTGGATCTGGAATTGGATCCACTTATGGAAATAAATGAAATTCTAATCAAATATGGAAACAGTATTCACGCTTAAAAAAATAAATTATGGTTGACTTTTGATATATCAAACAATATCTTAATCTTACCGATTCAGTAATGTTACTTTGCTCCTTTTCTAGTAAGGCTCACTGATGTTGGGCTATTGAGCCATAGCACCAATTTGGCAAAACACATATTTAGATACATATATCAACTTAAAATTGAACCAATATACATTTGATTTACTAACAATCAATTTTTTTATTTTATGTATGTTAATTACATTTTAGATGGCTCATAATTGATCAATGAAGTAAGGTTACATTTTAAGTTTTTCAAAAGTAGAGTAGCTAGCATTAATACTTAGTATTGTATCCATGTTTTACGCATTGTGTATTGTGTGTGGAATGCTTCTTCAATAACTCTTTCTTTTTTGTTTTGTTTGGAATTTATCTTGGTTTAATCCAATTTTTATTTTTAGGGGCAGATAGCCTGTGTGGTCGACTGACTGAAAAAATCAATTCAAATCATAATTTAAAATTAGTTTTGGCACATATGCCTCTACTTATGGTTTGTCTTGAGGTAATATATTATATAAAGGTTAGCATCCCCAGGTATTATCCTTTTTTTTTTCTTTTTTCCTAAATTTTATTTATTTATTTTTATTTTTTAAAGTTCTTCATATTCTGTAGTTGTCTGTTCTGAAAGAAAATGATCAAGTCTCATAATTGTTTCCAAATGTCATGTTTAATTAATGGGCTGTGGATCTTTTAGCCCTGGAGCCAAGGTCCAAAAATCGACCTGATCGCAGGCGACGGTTTAATGTAAATTATGAAAGTCTATGTTATTGTGAGTAAAAAGAACCTTGTCTGCCGTTCCAGAGCCACTGCTTTCAAAAATGGCAGGTGATTTAGAGAATATTAGGCCAGTAATTAGAGGATCGAAACGGGAAATCTATTGCGAAAAATGTGAGAAAAGTTTTTATTTTTTTAACTTGTATATATCGGTTTAGGCATTTAAAAAACAAAATTGCTAATGTGGGCTACCAAGAGAAAACTTTTTACAGCCAAAAAAGTCATAATTTTCAATATTTTTTTGGTTTTTTCACCTATAACTCCTAAACAATGTATCAAACCGAAAAATGTATTCTTTGATAGATTAAAGACCATTAAATTTTGCGTCGAACGAGTACATAAACTTTATAATTTGGCAATGCGGTAAGGTATAAAACTGCTGTCAATCAACGCTGATTTTTACCAAATTTGTCGAAAACTGAGACAAATTACTATAAATGCCCCTCCAACTTGGCAATAAGTTGCCTAAGTGGAAAAACCCATAGAATAAAAGTTGTAGAGCATCAAATTTCGTGGCATTCTCATAAACCAAAGTGTCCAGGCAAGCAGGTCACTCTGTTCCAGTTCATAATACCTGATAAACCTCTTAAAGTAATCTGATAATGTTTGGAGATATACCATATTCTGTATATTTAGGCAAATGAATTTATGACTAATTGAGTTGAAATTCTTTTTAAAGCCAATAAACGTTCTTTTGTTTCCTTGATCATAGTACACTAGTATGTAATGTTTTAAGATCTGTTATATTTGTTTGGTAAAGACCTTTCAGTTCTTAATAAAATGTGCATCCTACAGTTTCGTCTTTCTCCAGTATAATAAAGTTTAGGGTTTCTGGCAATATTTTTTTTTTTTTTTTTTTTTTGAGATAAGTGCAATATTTCATGTTCTCAAATTATAGTAGACAGTATAGATTTTTGAAAAACATCTATCTATTGATGACATTTAACAAATATGAAAGGAGTTATTAGTATTTTTGCCTGTTATGCAGACAATATGGAATAAGAAGAAGTTCTTATTTTGTCCAATTTGTATTTTTTTTTTTTATATCCTCTTTGTGGCGTTGATTTTTTTTATTTGAATTATCACTCTCCATAATTGAAATAGCTATGCTTGCTATGTTTGCTGCTTAAACTATTCCATCTAGAATTAAGTAAAATATACAGTATTATTGTTCTGATTTTAACTTTCATAAATTTCAGGGTTTAGGTAAATTAGCTGAAAAATACCCTAATATAGCTAGCACTTCTATACAGTGTCTGAGGGATTTTCTTGTTTCTCCATCTCCAATACTTTCAAAGTTGTATAGATTACACAATGAAAAGGGCCTTTCTCATGATGCACAAGGTAAATTTTTATATATTAAACATTATTTTCATTTAAAATTATAAGAATTCTTCTTAACAGGAAATGAGGGTGGTTCATGAGACATTCAAAACAAAACAAATAGTAGTAATATACTATAGCTAGAAATATGTCAACTGGGAAAATGAGAACTGTCTTCGGGGGAAAAAACTTCCTCTACACATTCCATTAACCTAATGAACAGTTGAATTTCATATGAAATTTTCGTTTTCATTTCTATATTAATGTAAAAGTTTGAATGAAAATTATTTAGTGAATAAATAAATAGAAAATCATTAATTCATTTTTTAAAAAAATTACATTAGGTTCGTCAAGGATATTAATTAATAAATGATATATTAAGATATTATTAATAACTTAATACCTTGTTGATGAGCTTTAATGTATGCAGACATTTTGTTGCAGTTAACCTGTCTTCTTTAGTGAATAACAAGAGCTGTTGCTCACCTTGTAATTGGCAAAGATAGACTCAAAAAGTGTTTTAACAAATAATCTTTAGTTTTACTTAGGGACATTATTTGTTGATCACTAGATTAGATTATCCCTTCTCTGTATATCTAATTTTTCCATGAAGAAAGCCTGGAAATGGGCCAACATTTTGACACATCTAGTATATTGCTCCTATCTGTTTTATTTATGACTCTGTATTTTTGTGTTTATATGCAAATTATATTTTCTTATTTTTTTTTTTTACTAAGAATTTCTAAAGTTCTGTTCAAAAATAAACAAGAAGGTCCTATTTAAACATTAATTCATTCTTATTTTTTTGTAATTTTCATTGTAAACTAATTATTTTTTCTCATAAAATTTATGTTTTATAAATTAGTGTTGTAGTATTTATCATTATTTATAATGAATTAAAATTAAATTAAATTTTTGTCCTCATATTTTTTTAACTTTTATTTGTAAATTCAGTATAGTATAATAACTATTTTAATTTTTTTGTTTCACTATTTTATTAATTGTTGGGAGATTTATTTATAATTTTTGTATATTTTCTTTCCATTATTCCTATTTTTACTTTTATTTTGAATTTTCATTTATTTATTTTTTTTTGTTCTTAGGCTTCCACACTCCGGATATAGAGATTGAGAATACTGTCAATAAAAGTAGGTATTGCACAATGTTTTAATCTCGTGCAATATGCTGCTAACAATTCTCTTTTCTCAGTGAATTCCGTCTTGAATATCAGTGTATTTAGAATCTTATTTTTTTTTTTTAACTTAACATAAAATAAAAGAAAGAACTAATTTTATGCACTTTAGGGAAGAATATTTTCCCTAAAATTTTCTCCTTGTTATGAAATCATTTTATACAGGTCATTAAACCTATGAGATTTTAACAAAAAATAAATAAATAAAATAATTGATTGAAAAACTGCAATGGTTTTTTAAACTAAGGTAATAACATTAATACTGATATTTACTTTTTTTTAGAATTAAATGATTACCTAGGATGTTGTAAATCAATGTAAGTAGAAATAAAATAACTATAATGAAAATAAGTGAATTGGCCATCTAAATTCTTTATTGAGAAGCTCTTCATGAACTGATTTTGTCTCTGCGAACTGTTAAGTTGTGGAGGTTATGCATGAATTATTATTATGATTGTGCTACAACCCAATTATACCTTAGGTCTTGGCATTCTCTAATCATCATGGTCTTGTGCTGATCCCATTCAGTTAGTGACTGTTTGGATTTTGTTTGCATCTCTCTCCACAACATTTGACCATCTTAGCCTTGGTATATCTCTCCTTTCAGCAACTGGCTGTGTTAGTAGTGTTTTGGGGGGCATTTCTCCATCTCCTTTAAAGGTATGCCTTGCATACCTCATTTGCATCAATGTCATTATTTTGACTATACCAAACTCCCCAAAGGTGATGCATAGCTTCTTGTTAGTGCACTACTTCCATTCCTCTTTAATTTTTACACTCAAAAATTTAATGGAGAACTTTTTGTTTAAAATTCAGGTCTATTTCAGCTATCTTAAATGTACACCATTCTGATCCATACTGAAGTATGGGGCGCATCAAGGTTTTATAATTTTATAGAAGAGGGAGCCTGGTCTGCCTAGAAAGTATTCACCCTTTGAGCTGTTCACTTAGCTCAAAGTAGCATCTGTTGGCTGCAGTTATCCTTCTTTATTATTCTAGGTGATTACATATTCTAGGTAAGTAAACTTAGGAACTTTTTCAAAGTTATAGGGTCAAATAGTGACTGTCTTGCCTGGTTTAGGAATTTACTCTTGACATGTACTTGGTTTGGGACTCTCTGGGTTCGAATCTACCTGTGCCAGAAAAGCTGAAGGTCTGGAAGAGCCCTTCAATTTTCTACAGCATCCTCATAGGCCAACAAGTGGGCAGATTTTCCCACAAAATTTTTTGGATTTTTTTTTTTTCGTCACATATCATTAAAGCATATCTCACATTCTTCACATTGAGTTTAATGAAATATTCCTCAGGTTATGCTGAGCTTTATAGAATACTGATGTACTGAAATTGAAGAATCTTGTTGAGCTAGTGGTCGATCCGGACCCGAACTTGGGGTCTATGGAACTTATTGATTTTATATAGATATCTGCAGATATGTATAGACAGGATGCTGTTTTATAATTTCTGTTTATGAATAAATTTTCTCCTCAATTATTTTAGTGCTTAATCATCACTTTTAGCAGTAGCTATTTGTCTGTGCTGGGTTGGTACAATATTTGATTGTATCTATAAATGCATTAATTCCATTTTTTTTTTTTTGCCTTTACAGGCCCTATAGATCTTTGATAACCGTGAACGGCTTGCTTCTCCTCTGCCAATCTTGGATTATTGCTTTCCAATTTTATGCTTGCAGCTCAGCAACATCTCTATTGATTTGATCTATCAATCTGTCTATTGAGGCATACATCTTTGTGTACAAGCATCCTGATGGATTGACAAATTTATTTTTACCAATTATATAAATGCAACAATAGAAAATTTAATTTCTTAGTATTTTTATCCAAAACTATGAATTTATAGCCAATTGTAGTCTTGACGATGTTTGTGTTTGGAGGAAAGGTTACTGGCATATTATTAAACCTCATTAGGGAGACTTTATAGATTTTTAATAGAAATCTTCTTAATTAAACCATTAGAATTAGAATTTTTTGTTGTACAAATTAATAATTTTTATTTTTATTGTGCAATTAAGTAAACATTTATTTCGCTTTTTTATTTATTTATTATTTTTTTAGGATTTCACCTTACAATAACTTCTGACACTGGAAATTCAATTAGTAAAAGTATGTACTTTTTTTTTTTTTATTTAGTTGCAATTTTTAGTGAATTTTCTGAAACCAATTCTTTTATACTATTATTTCTTTGATTATTTTTAATTGTATTGAAAAATATGTATAAAAATTGACTGTTAACTGTTTATATATTTGTTTTTGTATATTTTTTTTCCTTGCCACTTTAAGTGAATTTATTTAATCTGGGACGAGTATCTCTATTGTCACCTACATTAAATACATCACTTCCTCAAATGGATGAATTAGTCCCTTCTTAGGAATTCTTTCATTCTTCTCACTTATAATTCACTTATAAAATTGTTTATTAACCATTTTATGATATATTTAGCTATACGAATTGAAACAATGACAAAAATATCTGTAACAACATAATTAATAAAAAATTAGAAGTCAGTTTGCCAAAATGCATTCAGAAAAAAAATGTTTATATGGAGGTATGGAAGCCAAATATTGTTTAATGTTAATAAATCAATTATTTATTTTATACAATATTAAAAATTAAGTAACAAAATGAACCTCAGTGCAGAACTGTTTGAAACAATCAATTGGCTCTAACAAGTCTCTACATTTTTGAATTATTATTTTTTTTAGGATTTCACCTTACAATAACTTCTGACATTGGAAATTCTATTAATAAAAGTATGTACCTTCTTCCCCTGCCTCTAATAAAATTTCTTGAATTTACTCTAGTTATCTTCAACAGTCAATATCTCTCACCCATCCATAATTAAAGTTTCCTTTCCTATCTTACTGATAGACACTTCAAAGTAAATCACAATAATACCTATTCATCCCTCTTTTCTCAATCTGCCAGAGTTCCTCAAGGTAGTATCCTTGGTCCTATCCTTTACACAGTTTATACAGCTGATATCCCAACCCATCCTAACACTGTCATCCCTACGTATGCTGATGACACATGTTTCCTGTCAGTTAATAATGATCTAACAATTGCATCCCAAACTCTTCAATCACACATCACAAACCTTGAAGAATGGTGTCAAAACTGGAGGATTAAAACAAATTCCAATAAATCCCATCAAATCACCTTTACCCTTCGTCGTAAACCAATGACTTGCTGTCCTATAGTATCCTTGAATAACACCCCACTTATGCCTGTAGAACAAATCCGATACCTAGAACTCCAGCTGGACAAATGCCTCACTTGGAATCCTCATACAAGACTGAAACGACAAGAAACTGCTCGACATTTCCGCTTACTCCAACATTTACTGGACAAACGCTCTAAACTTCCAATTAATTACAAACGACTCATATACATGACTATAATAAGACCTATTTGGACTTATGGAGTTGAGCTATGGGGCTCCACTAAACCATCAAATTCCTCTCGAATCCAATCTTTACAATCCAAAATCCTTCGTAAAATCCTCAATGCTCCTTACTTTGTCACAATAATATACATATCCTTCCATAATAAACTTCATAACCATCCGAATCCTCTTGTTTCTAACCTTGCTTCCTCTTCGATTCCTGATAACCCTCCGAGGCGAAAAGAACATGGCCTCATGTTCTCCTCATGTAGACAAATTATTAGAGTGCTACCAATGGGTAGTTTCTCAACAAGCATCTTTCATGTTATAATATTCCTCTGTACACGTTTACTTGATGTATTCATACTAATACAGTTGTAAATATCATAATAAAAGTTTTTAAAAAAACGTTTCCTACTTATTTATCTTTAATAAAGGTAATAGGTTCTTTGACAAAAATCATCATTTATTTCATTGCATAAAATATTGATTGTATTCATTCTAACTTCTCTGCATATAGTTTTTCTATTTTTGTTTGTTAGAAGAATAAATGAATAACTTTAAATGGTAGAGTTTATCACTACAACAAAGAAGAACTGACACGAAAAGGTATCACTTTGTCATTTAGGCAATGTTACCTTAACTAAATTAAAACAATGAGATTGACCTGTTGTGAGAGCTTTCTACCGTGAAATAGGTAGAGATATTCTAGAAAAAGGGAATTCTGGGAAACCAGTTGGATCATGCAGATACTTTGTCGTTTTGATGAACAATACCTTTGTCGGGTTAAGTTAATTCTTTTTATAAAAGTATTTCTTTAATTAATAAATAATCAAAATGTAATGTTAGGTGTCAGTTTAAAATATAGTGGAACCTCTGTTTATCAAAAATCTCTAGATAACAAGTTTCAGTCAATGGTCCTCTGGCTGCCACATTTTATATTTCTTAAACAAATCATTTTCATTAAATCAAAGTTAATTCAAACTTTTTAGTTGGTGGTACAAGTGGAACACTTTGTGATTGTTGTCATTCTCCATTCGAAAAGCTCAGAGATGCAGCTATTGAAAACCTCTGTATGGCTCTCAGATCGGCCTACTCTGTTGATCATAATTGCGTTCCTGCCCTTGTCGCTTCACTTTCTAACAGGCTATATACAGCTCAGAATTCAGATAGGTATAAAAACAATTTATGTTTATATGTCTATATGTGTGTTTGTGTTATGACGGTATGTATATAAAATGATATTTTATTGTAGAAAAAAATAAAAAAGTATATGTGTTGTACAATAAGTATGATTTATTGTTAATAAAAAAATATAGAATTGTTCTAATTAAAACATGAATCAATTATTTCACAAAATGTATCTTCTGAAAACTGTTTCTAATAAGATAAATACTAATTAAACTAAACCAGTTAATTAATAGTGACACTGCAAAAATCTGTTAGAACAGTTTTATTGGTAAATATGGTTTTGAGCTTTTCTGGTTAAACTCAGCCTCACTCATCTTCAGAATTACAAAAAAACTACTTTAAACATTGCATTTGCTTTTTAAGCATTCAAGAAAAAGTGAACAGAAAATCTAAAGTTCCTAGAATAAAAACATGCAATTTTTTCGTCTCCTGAATATTATTGTTTTTGCAACATAGCTGTCAAAAAGTATCTGTGTCTGGAGATCCACCTGGCTGCCACCTTAATAGCGACCTATGATTTATGCATGCTAACTACATGCTAGGGTTCTCCGAAGAGGGCTTCATAGTGCAAGTCGCATCATCAACCTTTTGATGTGTTTGAAATTTTTGAAAGGGGTCATTTATGGTTATGAATTTTCAGAATGAAAAGTTTCAAATCAGAGGGCAATGGAAAACTTTTAAATTTTACTTACACTTGTGCTAAAATAAAATATTGTAATAAAATAGGATATCGCCCAACCATGATAGTTCAAATTTAAAATATAATAATTAGAACCACCATAAAGTAATTTTTAGAACCATGAAAATTTCATGATTGAGGACCTTGATGGTAGAATCAGGTAAATCGAAATTTTTAAAAAACGATTTAATGCTTTTTTCCCTGTGGACAATATTGCTGTTTTGATTAATGCAATAACAGGAGACAAATATAATATAAATCCTTTCCTATTTGAGAAAAACTGCATTATTGGCCAATAGAAAATTATTATACATTAGTGTGAAATCTAGATGTATTGATCCGGGCTTACCTTATTTTTGACACCAATGTTAATGTGTGCATACTACCTTTGAGGCAAAAAACTGAACTTGCGTATTTATGCAGACAGAGTCTTGGGATGAATTTACCTGGTATCTTATTTAATTTTTTTTTTTTTTTGGTTTTAACCAATCATTTGTGAATCTAGAATAAACTCTTCCATTTTACAAATTAGACTATTAAACAGTTTCATTTTAATACTAATGATCTTGTTTATTTGATAATTTCTAGTCATTTAATTTTTAATTTATTCTTTTCTAGTGAGAGTTCACTTATTTTGAACAACACCATCGTTATGCTTGGCCATATAGCTGTCGCTCTGAAGGATACACAGAAAACTACTGAAACTATTTTACAGTTTTTTCAGCAAAGGCTTTGCAGGGTACCATCACCTGCAGATGTTCTCATTGTTGACCAGCTTGGTTGCATTATTATATCGAAGTGTGAGGTATATTCTTAATTTATTTAGTGTTTTTCATGTATAAATGTATTTTTTTATTATAAATAAATTATAATTGTTCTCAGCCAAATGTTTATGAAGAAATCATGAGGATGTTTGTGCAAATAACTGTTGAGGCTAGTAATGCCGCATACACCAATGATAAAACTAATCAATATAAGTAAGTTAATTATTATTTGTTATTAAATGAATGATGAAATTGTTGAATGTATCTACATATTACGCCTCGACTAATCTTAACTCCTATGATCACACGTTTTAATGAATTGTGTTTTACTTTTCAACAGCTTTGGTTTTACATAAATATCAATTACATTCTGATCAAAAAGATATACCAATAAATTTTATTAGAAGATTTTCAGGTTAAAATCTTTTAATTAATACATTTTTGTATGAATTTATTAAGATTTTCTCTTTGAATTTTCATTAAATTCATTGTAATAGCTGTTGAAAAACGATAAACTTAGAATTATTATTTGGATTTTTAATTTGTTTATTGATGAATATAAATATAAAAGTGGGCCATTATAAATATATGTCTGGGTTTTTATACATTCTATTTAAATTGTACAATATATTCTAATTTAATAAGTATTTAAAATAATATAACTCAAGAGCAAAAAAATAACTGCTAATTAACCTCAAGAATTTATTTTGTATAATTAGTTATGCTGTTTGTTGGATAATAAAGATCAGGTATAGCATACTTATAGGATTTATTTAAAAGTTAAATTATATATTAACTTTTATTATTACTAATCATAAAGTCATATAATACTTATATAATTTATTATTTATTAGCCTTATATAATTTATAAGTTATTAGCCAATGTAAGATTACAGGTACATATCCTGGTGTCAGAAAGGGATGAATGAGATAAAAAAGATAACTTAGTGAAAGTAAGAAAAACTGTTGCCTGTATCACACAAGCTACACTATTATCTCTACTTTTAACAGAAATTATTGTTTGACAAAATTAGGCTATGCCAAACAGTTTTTGATCAGCAATATTAGAGGGGTTTTTTACACTGATCTACCTTAAGCCAGGTTACATTGCTTTAGTTTATCAAATAAATCGTACTAAAATCTTTTCTTGGTCAATTTTCAGGAAAATAAATCTAATTCAATTTTTTTTTTGTGTCTTGATTGACATATGTAAAGATATAAAAACTTTTTTGAAATAGGTAGGAAAGTCGTGTGAGTGGACACACCAGATTTTTTAAATCAGATTTGGATTAGTTAATTTGAACAAAAAATTGATGATTGGACAGATAAATATTTATTAGAACATAGAGCTTATTACATGATTAATTATCTAATCATTATTAAAGTGAATAAATACACTATTTTTTAAATTACTTTAATCTTTTAATTAATTTTTTTAAGCATATTTAATCTTTGATTATAATGGTTTTATCCAAAAAATACCAAGTTTCATGGGGAGTATGTACTCTTTTTCAAAAACTATCACTAAAATCATGTATTCATTTAACCAAAATTCATATATTCATTTAGTCATGCAATAATGTTTGGTCATTTTCCAAAGTCATTTAAAATAGAAAAAGAAAAAACTATGCTAAAGTTCGGAAAAAAATGAAAGGAAGTGAATTTTATTGTGAGACAGTTAGTCCTCTCAGAATAACTATAATGAACAACAAAATGACAATTGTCTGGCATTAGAATACAATTAAAAATAAATTAATTCACAAAGTTGTCTAACCCTAATATTAAAGTAAAGAAAAGACACTGTAGTAGATATATGATCTTGAAGATAAATTGAATTTAATTAACAATAGATATATGAATTTAAAGATAAATATATGAGTGGGTTCACTTATTTGTACAAATAAGCAAGATAGCTCATACTGGGAAACGTATGGATATCCCATTGAGGTAGAGTAGAGGATAATTAGGAATGAGGTTAATCAGATACTTGGAACCAATGAGAATGGCTTTGGTCTTCTCAACATTCAATTTTAGATCATTGCTCACTGCCCAAGTATTAATACTGTCAATATCATCTTATTGACTTTTGGATCGCCTCAAGCATCTCGATAAGATGGAAGGAAAAGTAGATTTGGAGATCGTCGTTATATAAATGGTATTGTGAATAACGGATGTAATGAGGAAGGTCGTTAATATAGATAGAGAAAAGAGTTTGAAAGAGCGAAGATTCCTCAGGAAAACCACGGGTTTGTAAGAGGGGGGTAGGGGAAATTGTATTGGGAATAATGACTATTTGGGATCTTTGGTACAAAAAAAAATGGAACCACTTCAGAGCACTATTTGATATGGAAAGATTTTGGAGTTTGGTAAGGAGGATTTCTTGATTAACAGAATCGAAAGCTTTTGAAAAATCAAAGAGAACTAGGATAGAGAATTTCTTGTTTGTTTATAGAGAGATAAAGGCCCCAGGAAATTTTCAGCAGAGCAGATTGGGTGGTCACCTGGAATTGGAAACCAGACTGGAAGGGATTGAGGAGAGCTTTTTGCTCAAGGAAGGTATTAAGCTGTGGACTAGTCTTTCAAGAGGCTTTGAAAGATTGGAGAGAATGGAGATGGGTATGAAATCGGAAACTTTGGAGAGAACTGGAACTTTGCTGAGTGGGCGGACAATAACTTTTTTCCAAGCTGACAAGAAGCTGGAATTTTGTAAGGAAAAATTATATATATGCAGTAGGACAGGAAGACATAATTTTATGAACTTCACAGGAATTAGGTCTGGGCCAAAGTCGTTTGTTCTGGATTTTAGGACAGAGGGAAGTAGGTCTTAAAATATAAATTAGGTATTAAAATTTGGTCTGGTAAAATATAAATTTTCAGGATCAAAGGAAGTTTTTGGAATACGGTATGAGAAGGAAAGTGGTAATTAGTCAGGATCGGCAAAGTGGGAATCATGTTGATCTGAAGAAACAGCGTAGGAGGTACAGGTTTTTGATTTTACTACTAAGAAGTTTTTAAGGATTTTCCATCTGGACTTAGGATCTGTGAGGCTTGTGATAAGGAAGTATGAAATAATTGTGCCTAAGCACGTCGCAAGGAAGATTGGGTAAGGTTTCAAATAGTCTTAAAAGAGAAGTAGTCATCCAGATTACGTGTTCGTACTCTCTTATTTCTGGATTAATCCAGGGAGCAGCAGTGCATCTGAATGTCGAGGTCTTTAACGGTGCATATTGATTTAGGAATAAAAGAAGATTTGAGGAAAGACACTCCACCATTTTATCAATGGAGGAATAGGAATAGATTGGATTTAAGGATTCGAGGAAATGATTTAGTTTTTTCAGAGGTCAATGAGTCAAGATCTGCCATGTAAATTGCTTGGAAATGAACTTAGGAGTCGGGACATTATAGGAAATCTAGATGAGATCATGATGTGAAAGGAAGAAAAGAGAGTTCTGAGCAGAGAATAATAAGTTTTGAGAGGAATTGATTAAAATAGATTGCTCGAGAACTGGGTATGGTGACTACATTGAAAAGGAACGATAAATAAGTCAAGATAATGGATTAGGTCTGTAAGTTATGATTTGGCAGGAGAGTCAGAGGTCATTAATTTTTTAAGTAATAATCATAATTTTTTAAAATTAATATTATAATTGTTTATGTTATATTACAACAATATTATTATTGTTTGTATCAAGAGCCCAGTCCAGTTAGTTTTTAGAGAGCTTTTAGTATGTAAGTCTGTAAGTCTGTGAGTTCCATTTTAACTGTTTCTGTGAAACATTTTAGGAAAAAAGTTCTATTTTAACAGTTTCCGTAAAACTTTTTAGGAAAAAGTTCTTAAAATGAGACTTCTAAGGACTATTTAAAAAAAATAAAGTTCCAGGTTTATGGTAAAAATTTAACTTTCATTTATTCAAGTTCTTAAAAAAAGTTCCGTTATATGAAAAATAAACAGTAATTGGGAGATTAGAGTTATAATTTGTCTTAAATGAATTACACATGGTTCTTATGTGTCGTTTGTTTGAGTAACTGTAAATAAGTAATTTTTTAGATCGACTTTTTAGCAAAATTCTTTAATTCTCAATTACATTGATATTTATGTACCAAGGTTCGAACCTCAACAACCTACAACCTTGGTTCAGAAGTAGGCCTCTGGTAGATATTATATTATAAAATAGTAATTTAACTTTGAATTCATTGAAAACAATAATCAATAGATTTTTACAGCAAGAAAAGAGATAGACCATAGTTGCAATCATCAAACAATTTTTTTTATGATCGCTCTCTTTCTTTAATATACTACACTTACCCATCGAGATTATAACATATTCTAAATTTATTTTATTACTATTATTTTTACTAAGTTTTTATCATGACATTTTTATAGATAATTTAATTTTTTTAGGCATGTATCAGGTGGAGTAATCAATGCCTTGGCAAATATAGCAGCCAATATCCAAGGGGAGACCGAAATGGGTGAGCTCTTGGTGAGGTTGATGGAGCTTTATGTTCAACTTGGTTTGGAAGGAAAGAGAGCATCAGACAAGGCCCCAACAAACAAGGTCAATATATATTCAAACTGTTTTTTATTTTATTTTGACTGTCACTTTCACTTTCTTTTCTTATTTATTGTCTATCTAGGGTTACCACGTTTCCTTGAATTATCAGGTTTAACATCATTATATTCAAGGTGCCAAAACTGTTTTTTTTTAGTAATTTTCCCTTTGCTTTACAAAACATTAAATCTCCTTCAAGTCCTCAGTCCATTCACAAAAAAAAATCCTGTTTTTCTGACATTTATAAATATTTAGTAATTATTCATTTTATTCTTACATTGTAAAAACCGCATTAACATGTATCTTGTAGGCTTCAAGCAGCGCAGGTAACTTGGGTATGCTGATTCCTGTAATTGCAGTTCTCGTGAAACGACTTCCAGTTATCAAACAGCCGAAACCCAGGCTGCATAAACTTTTCAGAGATTTCTGGCTTTATTGTGTTGTCATGGGTTTTACTACACAGTCAGGTAATTATTATATGTAATGATTTAGTACAGTGTTTTGTAAAGTGTGAGTTATTAGCTAACTTTGAGATTGAGGAACTCGAAGTTAGGGCTTTAAAAATTGTGATGTTTTACTAATTAAGATTAATTGTGTGCAAATAAAACCTCTGAAGATTACCATTATATTTTAAAATAACAAGTGGAATTTCTATTCTATAAGTAGTCAACTCATGAAAGTACCGTTAACTTAGTTTTAAAGTATTTTTTATAGAATTGTTCTTACTTTATAATATATTTTGAAGGTCTCTGGCCTAGTGAATGGCGAGAAGGTGTTGAACAGATAGCAGTGAAATCACCTTGCCTAGTCGCTCAGAGCTCTTCTAGGTCAGAATTAAGGCAGCTTCAGTACACTTCTGCTGTCAGAAATGATTCAGTTTCCTTGGTTGGTCACTATATTTTTTCTTTTTGCTTAAAAAGATATATATTTGTATTGTAATATCTAAAACTAAATTATATTTAGCCTAACTGAAGATAAATACAAAAATCCTGATTGATAGGGGCTGAGAAGGCAAACTAAACTTTTCTTCAATAACAGTGGTGCTCTTAGAAAAAAAAAATTATGGCTAAGGATCTAAACTTACAGTAATACATATTACTACTTCTTATATAAGTTTAAAAAGGATTTGTAATAAAGTCATCCAGGATCTTCTTTTTTGTCTCTCATCAGTGGCGGATCCAGGAATTTTCTCAGGGGGAGGCTCACATCTGTATCAGTTGCTTCCCCCACCCCTATCTGTTCCACCACTACTATCCATCCCCCTCCACTCCTTAGCTTATTTTAGCTGCTCAAAAGTCCTCTTTAAATGGTTTTAACAATAGCAAACTCTATTTTTATTTAAAATAAATTTTGTCTAGTTCACAGTGAAGCAATTGTTAATTACTTAAATTAAATAGTTTTTTAGTTATCACTTCCTATTCAACAAAAAATGTGACTTACTTAAAAAATCACAAAACTTTAATTTCCTAATCGAACTTTATTTTCCTAATCGAACCATTGTTTATATAAATTTTTTTATAGCTCTTCAGTTCTGTTATCACTTCTTTAAAAAATTTCCCTCCACACATGGGACACCCTGTATATGGGTTTAGACATGTAAAAAAAAAAAATTCTAACACGGATCACCTAGGATAAACTTTTTACAGCTAAAAAAGCTAGGTTTATACAATCTTTTTTTTTTTCTTTTTTACATCTATTACTACTAAACAGTGCACCAAGGCGAAATACGTATTCTTTAAGAAATTAAAAAATGTTGAATTGTATGTCGAACGAGTAGCTAAACCCAATAATTTGATTAAGTGATATGGTCGATAATCACGGTCAGTGACACTAATTCTTACCAACTTTATCAAAATCTGAGACAGATTAGTATAAATGGCCCTGCAGCTCGGAAATGAGTTCTCTAAGATAAAATTCCGATTCTGATCTTATCTGAGACCAAATAATTATTACTCTCCTTCATGAAAAACTTCCCAACAGCAGCTATTTTAGAAAAGAAAAATACTTTCTAATGAGAAATATACCAATTATTATCATGACTAGTTTTATCAATTGCATGGATTTTCAAGGAGACTATAGTTACTGGAAGTCGCAATGCCTCCAGATTTATTGGAATTGAATAAAAAATGGGTCCGGGAGAAAAACCGTATTTTCTTGTGTTCGAATAAAAGGTTGTTCGAAAGAATAAATATAGTTCATTATTTTTTAAAATTGATTTTCCACCGTCATGTATTTCACCTGCGAGACTTAGTTCTGAGTCAGTAGGAAGAAACTGTGACAGGAGTACAAACCTTCACTTCACTTTCTAAAAACTACCTCACCTCACCCTACGAGCCATCTTTTGCTCTTACATTCCATTATTTGTTCACAAAATCTCGCCATGCGCCAAAGGCAGGGCAAGTTTATCTGCAGCCTTGTGTGGTGACATGATATTACAAACCGTAAGATTAATAAAAGTGCTCATGATAATAATTTTGTTTAATTAATTAAAACAAAGTTTAGTAGGTATTAATTTAGTGTACCTTACATTAGAAAATTTGTCTATGAGGATGAATTCTCCCTATATTTCTCTTTTCTATAAATAGCTGTTTTTTGGAATTTTTCGTCCACCATCAAGGGGAGTGGTGCCCCCTGGCAGAATTCGATAGTGCTGGTCATAACAATATTTTTTGTTATATATTACATTAGAAAATTTGTCTATGAGGATGAATTTTTCCTGTATTTCTCTTTTCTTTGAACAGCTGCTTTTTTTAACTTCTTTTTCCTCCGTCCAAAAGAGAGAGGGACGCACCCCATGGCTAGATCCACTATTATAGTTCACGATAATGTATTTTTTTTTTTTATATCACATTTTAAATTTCTTTCACTACTACGAATAACTAAACCTCTCCTTTACAAAGTCCTTATACGAACGGTTTTGATGAAGAATGAAGACGCTGTGTGGTAAAAGAAAAGTGGGCAGACTGAAAATGAGATTGGAAAGATAGAGTAAGTGTTGATGCCAGAATCCTTGAAATCTGGAACTGGTGGACGGCTGCTCTAGACAGCGAAACATGGAATAAAACTCTTGAGGCAGCCAAGATCCAGTTATGGGTTGTCGAGCTCGGGGTAATGATGAGGATCACATTAGAAAATTTGTCATAGATGATAATTTTTGCTATACTGTTCTTTTCCTTAAATAACGTTTTTGTTTTTTTTTTAATTTATTTTTACCTACAGTCAGCAGATAAAAAGCAGCATCTGAACTAAATAGGTTTTGTTACTTTTCAAATTTTTAACCATGCCTTTTTGTCATTAATAAATATGTTTTTTCTATTCTGGTCAAGAATCTTGGTAGTGGCACTGCTGAAAAGTTAACTAACAATAATGTGAATATTTGACCAGCATTTCCAGTGGCAATCATTTATGGTTTGGGGAGGAATAAATTTCCTCATTCATACTGAACTGATTTTCATTGATAGTGGGGCTGCAATTGCTCATATTAAGGAAATTCTCCTGGAAACCCATTTGCTAAATTAATTGGTGAACTATTAATTTTGAAGCTGGATAATACTTACTATACCCCATACGAATTTCCACAAAATACTGAGAAGAAATAAGAGTAACAGTGTTTAATTGGCCTGCATGATCAAATTCTAATAAAACATTTGAGGAATATTTTAGGAAGAATGTTTTGGCTTTGCCATCCTTCTTATAGTGGCTTAAATCAGATTCAAATTGCTCTTCATGAAGAAATGTATGCTGTGCTAGTGGTGTACATTAAAATATAATTTCTTCTGTGCCTTATACGGTTTGGACATTTTGCAGTGCAAGAAATATTAGTACCTTTAATTAATAAAAACTTGACAAAAATAAAGAATTAGTAGTTTAAAAAAAAAAGTTAATATCTTATCTTTTTAAAATTATTTGTTCAGTATTATGAATACAAATTTTCTATGGTTGATTTTGTTAAAATAAGCTATTTCAAAAGAAAGAAAGAAAATGTCATTTATTAGAATTATGGGAAAATCAGTTTTCAGTTTTTAATTTATTTTATTTTTTGCTGTGGAGTTTATTTGTATGATATAGTGAATATTATGAAGTGGATTATTCATTGTCTTTTTTTATCACTTTATAGTATATATCATTAAGTCAGTGATCTACATTTTCTTGTTTCAGGGACAGTTGCAAGAATTTCGAACCCAGATCCTAAATCTTCTGGATAATCCTGCTGATGTATCAGCCACAGTGAGCAAACTCTCATTTGCTCAATGCACATTTCTACTATCTGTCTACTGGTTAGAAACTCTGAGAGTACAGCACTCTTCAGAACCCAGTCTTCAGTCAATCCTGGAATATCTTACAGATCGGGCTCTTATTACAGATAAGAGTGGAATGTGGTTATGTGTAGCCAGGTATATGATTTTTTTTAAATAGTATTGAAACTTCAAATAATTTTTTATCCACGTGTTTTCGGTTTACGTCTTAAATTAGAGTTTTAATATTTAATCTAATTAGCATCTTATAGGTTTGGTTGGCTATGTTAACATTAATTCCAGTCTAAACCTGTGTTGTGTACAGGTATGGTAGGGATAAAAGAAATTATAAATTGGATAATTATCGAGAAACAGGATTGCAATTAGAATTTGACTGGTTATGAAGTTATAAATGAAGGAGCTAACAGAATATGTATGGGAGAAATCAATCCCTCTTATATTATAAGAACTAGAGGAAGTGGTCTATAAGCTGAAAAAAAACAAAGCAGGTGCAGGCAATATAAATGCTAATTTCTTTAAAACTGGGTCATCACATGCTGAGAGAGCTTCGCTGATTCATAGAATTTATACAGGAAGAAAAGAAAAATGCATGCCTGAAAAATAGAATAGTGGAAAAATTATTGTACTAAGATTTATTAAGTCAACAAGAATTAACTGGCTCAGGCTTGTTGAAAGGTTACCCAATGAACAACTGGTGAAGAAGATCACAAGAGAATCCTTCCCAGGAAAGAGTAAGAGAAGACACCGGTGAAGAGAGGATAGCTGGCAAAATGACCTGGAAGAGAATTCAGGAAAATGGGCGTACCTAACTGGAGAAGATAGGCTCAGGATAGAGAGGCATGGAGACTTATTGTTCAGGAGGCCAAAGTTCATTTTGGACTGTAGAGCCACATAAGTAAGTAAAGAATAATTATTATGGCTCACAAAGAAGGAGATGTGACAGGATGCTGCTTATAAAATCTTGGCAGCATTTCTTTACAACTAATTTGCACATTATTAAAAAAGGGTGTTTGGAGAATACAAATTTGATTTTCAAAGAAACGGATCGATCATAGACCAATTATCCGTTCATCGGCAGAGGTTGGTAGCATAATGTGTTTACATGGCAGTTGTTTGTTGATTTCAGGGCTATGTATGCTAGGACCTTCAGATCCATAGCATAAAATATAAGACAGTAAAGGAAGCAAAACTTCCTCCTAAACTAACAGTTTTAACATTAATGACAACAAGGCACACCAACTATCAAATAAGATTAAATGGAGTGTCTAAGTCCATTGATACAAAGAATGGACTAAGGCAGAGAGAAGCATTGGCACCTTTATTGCTCAATCTGGTTTTTGATTAGATATTAAAGAATGTTCAGATAGAGAATGGCACTATTATTTATAAATAATGACATATACTTATCTTGGGACAATAGGCAAGCAATCAAAGTGGCTTATGGTATTGTGAGATGAGAGGGACCAGCAGGACTAGTCTTGAAATAAATATTGGAAAGATGAATTGATGGATATAGAAAAATGAGGCTAAAACATCCATCACTCTATATCATAGCCAAAGAAAATATAAAATTAGTATTGGCCTTTCCCTACTTTAGGTCTCTTATTACTAATTAATCAGAAGAAGTTTAAAAAAGAATCTTTTCAGATAATTGAGCTTAAACAGTTAATAAAAAGTAAGCTAATGTCATGTATAACTAAAGCCTTGCGTGTTTGAAACACTAATCCAGGGATGCCCTTCCCCCAAGGTAGGTAGCATATGAACTTCGCCCACCCTTCCCAAGTACTTTTATTGTTCTCCTCTTCTTGAAAACTGTCCAAGGGAATGGAAGGTAGAATTAGAAAAATCAGAGATCATAAAATTACTCTTGATCTTATTTTTTTTGGTCCTCTCCCTAGCCTTCAAGGCTATATGGGATTTTCCCGGACCAGAGAGTGAGGGCTGGAGATTAATGCTAGTATTGCGATTGTGAAAATTTTTGAATCTGAGTTTTCAATAGAAATACATGTTTTGAGGTCTTCTGAGTCCAAATAACCATGTCCCTCTAAATGGTGCGTGCGTGCGTGTGTGTGTGTGTGTGTGTATCTTTCTGTCTGTCTGTCTGTGTGCGTGTTGTATATACCTTGGATTTTACATAAACTTTTTAAAAGAATATTCCAGAGTTCATCTCTGGCCCTCAGGAAGTCCTGATCTCAATTTACTAGATTATTGGCTTTTGTCTGAACTGGAGAGGATCGCATCCCACAGAGCACACCCTAACTTGGAAAGCCCAAACAATTCTGGTCCGAGCAGATGAGCGCTTTCCTCAAGAAAATGGGGACATTTTGAATAATTTCATTTTTGTTTTACTCTCTATAGATATACATTTTATTTTCTAATAAAGTTTTTGGAAAAATTAATTTCTCTGTTGAAATCTATAATTTCCTTGTAACAATATTTATGACAGGACTAGCTAACATTAATGTATGTTTAGAAAAGATTTATTTTCTGGACAAAAAGCAAACTCGACTTACACTAATATCATTCTGATCCCCTCATTTCATAACCTAATTAATCTTATTTATAACCTAAATAATTGTTATTTATTTTAGTGTATCAGACCGAGTTTTCAAACTCTTCTTGGAAGCAATGTCTGCAAAAGCTAAAGATGAAGCTAGAGAACGAGAATTAGAAACGCACGCTGTGTTCCTTTTAGTACACTTTAACCATATCCATAAACAGATCCGTCGTGTAGCTGATAAATATCTATCAGGTCTGGTAGATAAATTTCCTCATCTCCTGTGGAACAGAAATGTCCTCGGACGAATGCTTGATATGCTTCATGCTCTGTCAACATCGCTTGATTTGGATCCAAACGATACAACTCTAACTGTCAGTGTTCCAAACACTCCATATACTATTACTCTTATGGATACACTTGATGCAAGAGAGGTAACATTTTTGAATTATTTATTGATGCTTTTTTAATTGATAATATGAATTATGTTATTACAAATTGTATAACATAATATATAGACCACTAGCTGATGTACCCGTCATTGACAGGTGTATAGTTAAAATTTGAGAATCTTTTTTTGAGATGGATTTTGTATTATGGGAGGGGGGATCCAAATTCAATTTCATAAAATTGGGTGGGGGGAGCGGTTGTTTTGAAATGTTTTATGGGGAGCTTATGGAAGTAAATTCTAAAAACTTTTGTTATTGAAACTTTTATTACGTCGAATTAACATACATTGCAATATCATGGGTGATAAATATTCAAGACGCAATCATTATAAACATTTGTTATTTGTGCCGACGTTTCAACCCAAACATGTGGGTCGTCATCAGGGCTGAAAATTTTAAAATACAATCAGAGATATAATATAGTGATTGATGGTACATGAATCTTAACTATTATTACAATACACAATATTAAAAATGAAATATGTAAGAAGTTATACAAATTAAAAATAATGTATATAATCCATTTATAAAAATTTGTAATATTTTCTCTTTCTAACCGTGGTTAGAGCACTGAAGGCTTTCAAGTACTGACACATTTGGTAGGTAAGTGAATGGGTCGGGGGAGGATTTCTCAGTTGCCCTTCTTAAAAGATAGGTGAACATAGTCAGAGGGGGGAGGAGGGAGCTAATATTTCTGTTTGTAGAATGTGAATAATTTGCTGACGAAGTATTCAAGATGTGTACAAGATTTGCGTTGTTACTTATGGTTACAGAATTGTGACTATTGGCTAGTAATGAAATGAACATAAGCAAGAGGTGCCAATCAACATAAATATACCATATTGTATATAATATCCAACCAGTAAATCAGTAATTCAAGTCAATATCAATAATCAAAGCCTATCCAAATCCAAAAGTTTGAAATATTCTCGATTTTTATCAAGGGTTAGTTCCTTACAGTTTAATCGTTGTTAGTATACTGAGAATGATAGAGAGAGTGGCAACAAACGAAAGGAGAATGGGGGGAGGTAACGGAGTGGGGTGAGACAAACCGGATATAAAAAAAAGTCTTCTGTTGTTTCGGTCTTTTCACAACAATCGAAACAATTTCAATAGAATTGAACTTGTTTCTAAACTTAATTGTTCCCAGTTGATTCACAACAATCGAAACAACTTCAATAGAATAAAACTTGTTTCTAAATTTAATTGTTCCCAGTTGATTCCAAGTTATTTTAATTAACTTGAAATTAATTTCCAAACTAATGTTTTAAGAATAAAACCGTATAATGGATCTATAGATCCATTAGGGTCGTGGTGCAATAAGCGTAACTTGGGCACTCAAGTGTGGGAGGATGTCGGATTTTTCGTGGTAGAGTAGAGTGGAGTATTTATGTTTTCTATAAATGTAACACCAAGGATGAAACTTTTTTCGTTTTTTTGTAAGCGACCATTCCATATATTTAATCCTCCCAAAAAATATGACCATATTTATTTCAGTTGGGGAGCTTAATAGAATGACATCTCGAGCAGATCAATTGGATAAACCTAACTACTGACAGTTAGAACAGCGTGTTGACGCTTAAGCGGAAATCCGGGATTTCGAGTTTTTCCACTGGATTCTGAATCAGGATCTCTGGACAAATTACTCAAAATATCATAACTTTGGTTCTACTCAATATTTTGCTTTTACTCAAAGCCTGTTTTAAGTCAAACACACCTAAATATAATGTAAAAATTTCAGAAGTCTACCATTAGCCATTACTGAGTTTATCGCTAACAAAATAACATTGGACATCGAGTCATCTACATCCCTATAAAATTTGAACTTGATCTGAGTATTGTGGCGGAAGGGTTGTAATTTTAAAGCCGATCTGAAGGGACTGGGTTTGGAAGGTGAACAGTGGAGGAGGGTGTGTAATAAGTGATTAGTGGTGTCGGCATCGAACGCTTGGGTTCGCTAAGCCTTTTATTATTATTTAAAAGTCAATTTATAATGGACTCAGAAGGCATTCCTTAAGCACCTATGTGTGAGCATCCATAATCAATATTTTGTACAAGCATTTTTGTTCATAAAAATTGACCACACATGATGTCAAGTGCACTTGCCTGTGTGTCTGGCCTCGTTTATATGGGTTCTTTTTGTAAAAAAAGAAATATGTGCTTTTATGTTATATGCTAATTATATTTTTCACTTTTTGTAAGCTGTTTGCATTTATTATTTATTGTGTTCATTATTTTATTTTATTTATCTTAATCTGAATAAATTTTATTTTTAGGGAATAGTGAATGACTTTGCTTCACGATGTTGTGGTATTATTCAAGAGGCAATGAAATGGGCTCCAAATGCAACTAGATCACATTTACAAGATTATTTGAATGAGATGGTTAATTCAGGACAATGGGATAATGAGACGGAAACTATATTCTCTAACAAAAGAGTGAACATACAATCCGCCGTACTTGTGAGTTACCAATTACTTTATTTTAAAGTTGTCTTTTTAAAAGCTCAGAATATTTAAACTTTTACAAAAATTACATTTGATTGGTTGTTAACAGAGATGGGCAAAATCGTAATCAATGATTACATGACTGAAAATAAAACTTAATAACCATGCCAATTTTATACTAGATACAATGACACTATAAATATAGCAAAAGTATGCAACGATTACTTGATTACAATGGTAATCATAAACCTGAATAACCGTGAATCTTCCTCTCAATCTTCAGAATTTTCTCTAGGCTTGGAAGGCTGACTGTTTCCAGACCATATAATATTACAGGTTTTGCCTTTGTCTGTATAGTAATGCCTTATTTTTGTATTTGAGGACAAATTTTTCTTGTTGTAAACATTCCTGGTGACGAAGTCCAGTCTTTCCAGTTTGGTTATCCTTCCTTCGATTGATGCCTTATCCGTTCCATTACTACATATTATCTCCCCTAGGTATTTAAACTTTTTAGTCACTTTTATTTTTCCCATATTTTGTGTCCAATATTTTCTTTGTGAAGTTGATATCTGTTGTCATAATTTCTGTTTTTTCATAAGAGATATGTAGTGTGGCCATATATTAAATTAAATATTTATAATTCTCATTAAAATTAAAATATTGGAAGAAGAATAAAACAAAAACACTAAAAAGATACAGATATATATATAATACAAACATGAGAAAATAAAATAACATAAGTAAACAAAATAATTCCTGGGAAAACTTAAAAGTTCTCTTATCTACTGTTGATGATCAATCAGATTGAGAAAGGAGTAGGTGCTTAAAAAGGAGAGATTTAAATGAGGAAACTGATTGTGCATGTCAGATATTGGGAGTGATGATATTCCAGAAGGAGAGGGATTGAATTATAAAGGATTTTTCAAACACACCAGTTCGGTGAGGATGTGGATAGAGATCAGAAGTACGGGATCTAGTGGGACAGGATTGAATGGAATATTTAAATTGTAAGCTGTGAAAAATATAGGAAGATCGCTGAGTTCTGATGGCTTGGTGTTGAAAGGTAGCAAGGAAGTACAGACTGCAGTTGGATAGATAGAAGCACTTCAACTTGGTGTAATACTGGGTTATATGCGTATCTCTTGAGATTCCGAAAACAAAACATATTATTCAGTTCATTAGGCGTTTAAGTTTGCCCTCGAATTCTTCTGAGAGTCCGCAGTACACCACAGTCATAGTCGAAGTGGGGGAGCACAAGGGAGGAAAGGAGTTGACGGGATTTATATGGAAGGAGATAGCAGAGATGATTAAACTGTTTCAGGGTAGAGATAGTACGCCAGCAAATTCGGGAGATGTGTGGTTTCCAGGAGAGGGTTTGATCAAAGGTAACACCAAGGTTTGTTACGGAAGTATGGAATGAGATAGGTGAGTTGTTCAGGAAAAGATTGGGGAGTGTCAGTAAGGATTTGAGGAGTGAGGGAGTTCCGATCAGGATGGCTTTCGTCTTTTGGGTGTTTAGGGTGATTCTATTGTGATTTGCCCAGGCCCAAATTCTGTTTCTATCTTCCTGTTATTTTTGGATGGCGTCAGAGGACTCGTTCGGATTGAATGAGGGGTAAATCTGGACGTAGTCGGCATACAGATGATATTGACAGTGTAGGATATAGGATGGAAGGTCATTGATGTAGATGGAAAAAAGGGTGGGAGATAAGGAGCAGCCTAATGGGACACCTCTGGACAAGGATAAAGATTCTAATGGGGATTATTGGGGACTACAATGGAGAATTAGGATGGTGAGTTTCTGCTGGTCCATGGCTATAAGAAAGTATTCGGAAATTTTGATGAGGGCAGACTAAGTGGAGTAATGGCATAAAAAAATTTCTTTCACTTTTTATATTTTATCTCGGGAATGAAGGATCGGTTTTTTACCGTTTTAACAGTTTTCTGGCTATGTAAAGGTCGGCGAAAATAGGGAAACGGTGTAGAAAAATTGACAAATTTTCTTTTTTATCTTCTGAATAGAGTATCGGTTTTTCACTGTTCCAACCATTTTATAACTGTTTAGAGGAAGGCCAATGGAAACAGAAGTGGTACAAATTTTCCGAATTTTCATTTGCTTTTCTTCTTTTATCTCGGGAATGGAGAATCACTTTTTTACCGTTCCAACAGTTTCCAGCTTTGTATAGCTAGCGAAAATGGAGAAGTGGTGTAGACAATTTTCCGAATTTTCATTCGCTTTTCCTTTTTATATTATAAATGAATGCTCAGTTTTTCACTGTTCCAACAAGTTTCTGACTATGTAGATGTAGTCTAAAATGGATAATTGGTGTAGAAAATTTTCTGAATTTTCATACACTTTTCCTCTTTTATTTCATGAATGGCTGCTCGGTTTTCACTGTTCCAACAATTTAATAACTGTGTAGAAGTGGCAGGCCAATGGATACAGGAGTGGCACAAATTTTTTATTCACTTTTCCACTTTTATCTTAGGAATGAAGGATCAGTTTTTCACCACTCCAACAGTTTTCCAACTATATAGATCTGGCGAAAACTGCGAATAATTCGGAAAATTTTCTACATCAATCCTCCATTTTCACCTACATTTATATAGTTGGAAAACTGTTGGAATCGTGAAAACTGAGCATTCATACAAGAGATAAAAGAGGAAAAACAAATTAAAATTTTTACCACTCTTGTTTCCACTTGCCTATTTTTAAGCAGTTATAAAATTTTTGGAACGGTGAAAAACCGAGATTCTATTCACAAGTTAGAAGAGGAAAAGTGAATGGATATTGGAAAAATTTTCTACACCCATTCTCCATTTTCATGCACATCTGAAGTGAATGAAAATACTGAAAATTTGTACCACCCTCGTTTCCACTGGCCCATTACTAAACAGTTATAAAATTGTTGGAACGGTCCAAAACTGAGCTAGTTAGAAAAGCTAATGAAAATGCAGAAATTTTCATACACCATTTTCCCATTTTCGTCTACATCTGTGTAGTCGAAAAACAGTTGGTATGGTGATAAACCGAGCATTCGTTCCCAAGATAAAAGAGGAAAAGCAAATGAAAATTTGGAAGATTTTCTACACCAATTCTCCATTGTTGCCTACATCTACATTGCCACAAAAATGTTGAAACTGTGAAAGACCAAACATTCCTTCACGAGATATTAGAGGAAAAACGAATGAAATTTCAGAAAATGTTAAGTATTACAACAGCTAAAAGAAAATAGAAAATGTTAAATACTGGTTTTCCTTTTAGTCTATCTCTAGACAGATGAAAATAATGTGTATTTGATTTTTTTATTACAATTACGCGATTATGATTACATGATTACGATTACAGTGATTTTGATTACAATTATAATTATATAATTATGATGACATGATTACGTGATTATAATCAAAATAAAAAACTGTGATTACAATTACAATCGGGTAATCAAATAATTTTTTTTTTATTATTGTAATCGTAATCACAATCATAATCGTTGATTATGATTTTGCCCATCTATTGTTGTTAGTCATAGCTCCTATTACAATTTATCATTTCTCTGGATCTACTGGGAGAAGAAATAAACAAAATAACATCAAATTCAAATTAATATGTGGACCTAATGCAGTTCAGAGTTTGGCTCAGCACACAACCTAACCATTCTCTCAACAAAAAAAAATCAAATTCTGTGCATCGATTACACATCCTTTATCTATCATCATGTTCTGAGTAGAAATAGATGAAAATTAACATTATGGATCTTATAATTTATGAATTTACAACAATTAATTACCATTTATTTTGATTATATTGATAATTTCTTTTGAACTCAATTATCTACAAAAGAACATTTTCACTTCTACGCATAGAGATATCTCTTCACACTTACACACTAATTTATATTTTATTGACCATATGTTTTTTATTTCTTTTGGTTTCTGCTTACACTTTCTTTTCTGCTATTTTCATTAATTGTGAACGCCTTTTTGTATTTTATATTTGTTTTAGAGTTTCTCTACCAAACTCTGACTGTTTCCCTCCCAATTCCTCTCATGTCTAGTACCCTAATCACCTGTCATGTTAACTCTCAATCCCTTCCTGCCCACTATGACGAGTTCCTGCAATATTTCACTCAAAACTTTTATCATATTATCGCAATCTCGGAAACTTGGCTTAAACCTTACATCCCACCCTCTTCTGTTTCCTTGCCTAATCACACTCTCCTCCGTCATGACCGGGTAAGCCGGAATGGCGGAGGAGTAGCCATGTTTGTCCATAATAGCCTGAAGACTCGATACCTCACCACCCTCCGATCATCCTCAGGTTGAATACCTTCTAGGAGAAATCCATTGTAAGGATCTTCCTCTCCTTTACACTGTGGTATATCGTCCTCCCCATGTTCTATTTGATCAGTCCTTCGAATCAACTCTATTCAACTTCGTTCCTCTATATCCCAGAATAATCATCTCCGGTGACCTCAATACCAATTTCCTCTCTAACTCCAATGACAAATCCTATCTAGAAAACCTAATTTTCTCTCTGCACCTCTTCATAGTTCCATTTCCCCCCACCCACCACACCAGCAGGTCAGACACTTGGCTAGACTTCTACATTATAGACTCTGTACAAAATCTCCTCTCCTCTTCTCAATTGCCAGTATCATTCTTATCATCTCACGATCTTATACAAATAACATATAATATCCAAACTCCTTCAATCCAGCCTCGAACTATCACCTTCCGTCACCTAGATTCCCTTACTCGAGAAAAAATATTACCTGACCTAGAAACCCTAGACTGGAATGGAATATATTCTTGCTCCTCCATCGACTCCATGGTTGACATTCTTACCACCAATCTTCTCAATATTCTCAATACCCATGCTTCCCTCAAAACCTTTTGTCACCGGCCTGCTCCTTGGATGTGTCAGGAAATCAAAGATCTGCAGAAGAGGCGCGACGCTGCCCGAAGACGTTTTAGACGTACGAGGCTTGCAGATGACTACCAAGCGTTCAGGG